CAGCCTTTCCCAGGGAGCAGCTCCAAGATGGGCCCAGAGAGATGTAGCCTCATGGGGCTGTAGCCTGTAGCCCCCCAGGCCCCTCTCCACTTCCCTCCAACATGCCCCCTCCAGTCCCTCCTCCAAACACCTCTTGCTCCAGGTGAGATTTGTCAGACTCTCCTCATCCTAAGACCTGTTTTACCAGCATTTCTGGATCTTAGGGAACACATGGGTGGGGGGAATTGGGCTGCAGGTCCACCGTCAGGCTCAGGGTGCCTCTGTGTGGGGTCTGGATTCATCCAGAGTGGTGGGGGGTTGCTGGCAGGGGCAGCAGGTTGGGGACATCATCCAGGGGGTTGGTAGCACATTCAAAGCCTGAGCTCATGGCTGCTGGGGCAGGAGCTTCACCCATTACTCCGGACATGTCACACTCTTTTCTCATCTTCCTCATCAGGCTGGGAACTCCTTGAGGACAGTAGGGGGCTGGCTAAAGAAATTAAGGTACATCTGGGCCGGCCCCATGGCTTAGCGGTTAAGTGCGCGCACTCCACTACTGGCGGCCCACGGTTCGGATCCTGGGCGTGCACCGACGCACCGCTTCTCCGGGCATGCTGAGGCCACGTCCCTCATACAGCAACTAGAAGGATGTGCAGCTATGACATGCAACTATCTACTGGGGCTTTGGGGGGGAAAAAAAAAAGGAGGAGGATTGGCAAGAGATGTTAGCTCAGAGCCAGTCTTCCTCAGCAAAAAGAGGAGGATTAGCATGGATGTTAGCTCAGGGCTGATCTTCACAAAAATAAATAAATAAATAAATATCCTTTAAAAAAAGAAAAGAAATTAAGGTACATCAATAGGATGAAATATCAAGCCTTTGCTAAAAAAAGAATGAGGCAGATGTGTTGGTGCTGATTCAGAATGTTTTGCAAACTATATTTAAAAACAGAAAATGACAAACCACTGGGTATAGTACACTCCCATTTGTGTCAAAAAAAAAAAAAAAAGGCTATGTAAACAGTGGTTGCCTCTAGTGAGGTCCTGGGACGCTGGGGGTGGGAGGAGGCCTTACTTTTATAATAGGGCCTTTCATACTGTTTGATGCTTTTACCGTGTGACACATTTTATTACTTTTTCAATTAATGGTGTGAAACAAGTCGGTCCGGCTCCCGCTTTCCATCTCCTCTTTTGTTGGTGGCCAGCCTGACCATCTGCCGATACACCCCACAATACCTCCAAGATCCCTTGTCTCTTTCTGCCCTGACAATCCATTTGCCTGTCTGTCACAGCCCAGCTAGGATCCCACCCACCTTGCCTGTGAGGAAGAATGAGTCCTTCCCTGTCTGGCCACCAGGGCGCAGCCCATGCCTTGGACATGCCTCAGGTAAGCTGGGGAGCTGGGAGGACAGGCAGGTCACTCTCAAACCTGAGGGGAGCTCCAATGCCCCTTCCACGCAGGGCTCCTGGGGCAGAAAGAGGTGCGGTCCCACCCAGGTCCCCAATGAAGGACAGGACAGAGAGTGGGGTCCTGAAGGTGGTGATGGAATTGTCCCCTCTCTCTATAATGTGGAGCAGGCACAAAGCCACCCTCTCCCAAGCTGATTCCAGGACCTCAAGATGAGAGGCATTTGCTGGACAGGGGTACAGACTCACTTAGCAGATGTCTGGGGTCCAGGGATTCCACAGGAAGGGGATCAGGGTAGAGAGCATGTCCCTTAAAACAGGAGCAATGGATCCATCCTATTCCACATCCCCACCCCAGGGCTCCTGGGACTTCCTACACCCTCCATGGCTCAGTTCCTGGTCAGCCCATCATTAGCTGGCTGGGCTGGAAGCAGCCCAAGGCCACTAGATTCTGGGAGCTCAGTTTAGCCAATGACCCACCGGCCCAGGTCTTTGCAGCCAGACAAGGGAGGAATTTCTTCCCACTGAAGCCCTAGGCCTCCCCTCCCCCCACCCCATTTTATTGATATAGACCATAAAGTTTACCAATTTAAAGTGTACAATCCAATGGTTTTTAGTATATTCACAGAGCTGTGCAACCATCACTATAATCTAATTACATTTTCACAACTCCCAAAAGAAACCCCGCACCCATTAGCAGTCACTCCCATTTTAACCCTGCCCCCAACCTCATCTGGCAGCCAGTCCTAGGGAACCACCCATCTACTTTCTATCTATAGATTTGCCCCTTCTAGACATTTCACATAAATGGAATCATACATTATATGGTCTTGTGTCTGGCTTCTTAGCATAATGTTTTTGAGGTCCATTCATGTTGTGGCATGTATCAGGACTTCATTCCTTTTTATTGTAGAATAATATCCATTGTGTGGATACACCGCCTTTTGTTTACTCCTTTGTCAGCTGCCGGGCACTTGGGTTGTTTCCCTTTGGGCGCTATTATAAATAATGCCACTATGAACACTTGTGTACAAGTTTGTGTGCATGTCTTTTCAGTTTTCTTGAGTAGATACCTGGAAGTCAAATTGCTGGGTCTCACGTTAATTCTATGTTTAACATTTTGAGGAACTGTCAGACTGCTTTCCAAAGCAGCTGCACCATTTTACATTCCCTCCAGCAGTGAATGGGGGTTCCAATTTCTCCACATCCTTGCCAACTCTTGTAATTGTCTCTTTTTTATTATAATCTTTCTAGTGGGTGTGATGTGGAATCTTTTTTTTTTTTTTTTTTTTTTTTTGCTGACAAAGATTAGCCCTGAGCTAACATCTGTTGCCAATCTTCCTCCACTTTATATTCAGGTCACTGCCACAGCATGGCTGATGAGTAGTGTAGGTCTGCACCTGGGATCCGAACCCGAGAAGCTGGGACACCAAAGCAGAGTACCCTGAACTTAACCACTCCGGCACGGGGCCAGCCCCTCCTCATTGTTTTGATTTGCACATTTCCCTAATGAATAAGGAAGTTGAGTATCTTTTCATGGGCTTATTGGCCATTCATGTTTTCATTGGAGAAATAAATGCCTATTCAAGTCCTTTGCCCATTTTTAAATTGAGGTATTTGTCTTTATTATTATAGAGTTGTAGAAGTTGCTTATATATTCTAGATACAAGTCCCTTATTAGATAAATAATTTGCAAGTATTTTTTCGGAGTGTGAGGGTTGTCTTGATTCTGTCCTTTGAAACACAAGTTTTTAATTTTGCTAAAGCCCAACTTATTTTTTATCTTTTTTATCACTTGTGCTTTTGGTGTCATATCTAAAAATCACTGCCTAACCCAGGGTCACGAAGATGTACTCCTATGATTTCCCCTAAGAGTTTTAGTTTTAACTCTTAATAGGTCTGTGATCCATTTTGAGGTAATTTTTGTATATTGTGTGGGGGTCATGGTCCAAATTTGTTTTTTTGCATGTGGAAATCCAGTTGTACCAATACCATTTGTTGAAAAGACTGTCCTTTCCCCATTGAATTATCTTGGCCCCTTTGTGGAAAATCAATTGACCATAAATGTCAGAGTTTATTTCTGGACTCTCAATGCAATTCTATTCCATTGATTTCAAATATCTATTCTTATTAGGCCTCCCTTTTTGAGTCAATAACAGAACAGTGGCTAAAAGAGCTCATTTACCTGAATTTCCACTCTGGACTTCTTATTTGAGTGGCCAGGTGGGGGTGTGGCACTCAGGGCCTATTCCAGGGCAAGTGGCCCGTCAGAGGGCAGAGGGTTTGAGGCTGAGGGAGAAGGATCATGAAATGCAGAGTGTTCCTGCCCCTCCTCACCCCTCCTGGAGCAGCAGTTGTCAGCCTGCTGCTTACATTCCTGCACAGACCCTGCCATGGAGGCCCCAGAAGAGAAGACTGGAGAGGGAGAGCACTGAGAAAGAATGTGGATGCCTTACATGGCTATTAGGAGGGAGAAGGCGCCCTCCCTGTCCTCCCTGCCCACCCTGCCTGCCTGGACAGTCTGCGGGCTCTTCGGCCGCCTGCCTACCTCAGCACCTCACATTCTCCAGCCACCCTGAGGAACCCCAGGCTGAGCCTCCACTTACACCAAGGCCAAGGGCATCAGGGCTCAAAATAGCCAGGCTGCTGAGCCCTGGAGAGCACGCTTGGAGAAAAGGGAGAGGAGGTTGGGCAGATGCCCAGGCCCCCTCTTCCCTTGGCTGTTTGGGTGTGCAATGTGATAAGGGGAGATGAAGACGGGTCCCCAAGTCCCCTCCCCACCATGGGTAGTGTCTGCAATGCTGCCTTGGCTCATGGGAGTGGGAAGGCGCCTGGGAAACTTGAGATAAGGTGAGAATTTCACAAACTAACTGCCTGGCCAGGGCCACCACAGCTGTGGCCTTTGATCAGAGAGAAAAGCAGAAATGCTGGGGGAAGGAGGTGGACGGTGTGCGACACAGGGGCTGTGGGCAGAGACAGGCAGCCTCCCTGGTGGAGTCAAACACACTTTATTCAGCACAGAAATGCCTGAACAGAAGGGCCTTGGGCAGGGTTCCTGACAAAGAACTCTGCTTCACACCCCGCTGTAAACAGAACAAAGATCATCATGTAAACCACGGGGACCCGGGGCAGGGTGGGGGGGGGCGCTCTGCACAAGGTCCGGGTCAGGTCACACTGGCCAGACACAGTGAAGCTAGGGCAGTTGGCCTACACCCAGGGCCAGCCCAGCCTGGGAAAATCGAGTGCGCAGCTGTAAGCAGCTCTCTCAGAAAGCCAGGGTGGGAGGAGGGCAGGAGCCGGGCCATTTCAGGGGGTTATCTCAACCACTGAAGGCGGTCAGATCAATTTAGCTGAAGCAGCCAGGGCTGCTGCGCCAAGACATGATTAAAAGGCCCTGAGATCCATAGCCTGGTATGCGAGTGACGGGAGAGGCCCCTTGGGGGTGCTCACCACCAGCCCACAGGGCAGGGCTGGGCAGCTCTCACAACCACATGCACTGGCAGCCCTGCCAGCTGCTTCTAGTCAGCAAACTGTGAAGGACACTGACCTTCCTTGCCCAGGGCCCCAGTCCTTCGACTTGGGGTCAGCACGGAAGTGGGGAGGAGTACTAGTGGGCGGGGCAAGGCAGGCCTGCAGGCAGGACCCCCTTGATGACTATAGTCCTGTACTCAAGACTCATGATTGGGGTGGGGAAAGGGCTCAGGGTCTGCACCAGCAAAGAGCATCACTGTGAACCCCCTGGTCCGAGGGCGTGCTTGTAGCAGGGCCCATGCATGGCCTGAGAAGCCCAACCAGAGGAAACAGCTAGGACCTCTGTTTTGGGTCACTCCCAGCTGTGCTATGTTATGTTGGGTGCAAACGGGGGAGAGGGAAGGAAGAGGATTCTGGGAGGGAGGAGGAGAGGGTGTAAAGGAGGGTGGGGGTTAGGAAGGTGGTGTTGGGTACCCTGGGACCCTTAGGGGTGACAGGGAGAAGCCATGCACAATGGCACAACTGGGTCCAGCTGAATTCCTGATTAACAAGTGCTCTGAACACCGGAGGGGGGTGGGCAGAGGACAAAAGTACCACCTTCCTGGACCCACCCCTCTTAACCCAAGAGTAGGGTGTGTTAAAGAGCACCCCACCCCCAAACAGTGACTAGAGTGGCAGGAACAGGGGCTCAAAGTCTGGGTGTGGATGGCAAAGGCGCTCCTTCCATGGCCTTTGGGCTCATGTGTAAATGCACAAACTGGTTCACCACCAGGGGGCAGAGAAGGGGCTGTCTTTGGCTGGACCGAGGCTGGGAAGGCAAGGCTGGTGCCCAGGTGGTGTAAGTGACAGCCAGAGCCCAGCTTCTCTCCAGAAAATCACCATACTACACACACAGCTGGAGGTCTGGGGGACCCAGGGAGGCCGGATCTATCTAAATGACTCACAGGCGGCTGGGGGAGGGGTGGCAGGGATGACACAAATGCCCCAATACCCAGGGATCACAACCAACAGGCAAGAGGAGCACAGCTAATCGCTGTGGAGGGAGCGGGCAGGGCAGCGGGGCACACAGGCCCTCGAGGGCTCACTCGTCAAACTTCCCTTCCCGAATGTGCTCGAAGGAGAAGGGGAGAAACTTGAAACCAGTCCCACTGTAGAATTTATTCTGGAACTCGACCCTGGGGAAAAGAAAGAGGAAAGTCATCATTCCCCAGAAATCTTCTGAAATCTTTTGGGACTTCACAGTTGGGCCAGAAAGATGCCCCATCCCATGCTCCCCCAAGCCTCCCGTTCCTACCTGAGCTTGAGAAAGCATTTCTGCCTCCTGCCCTCCATCTGCCCGCCCATGGAGCCCAGACCTCAGCCTGCGTCCCACAGTGCACACAAGCTCCCACTTCTGAAGCCCAGGGCCTGCCCTCAGCCAGAGAGCAGTTCACCAATGCACTCTGTCCTGCTGAGCAGAGAATGTTTATGCAAAACTCTGTGTAGAGAGCCATGTGCAAAAAAGGCTCAGTTGGCTTGAGTCTCAACAACAATGAAGAAGAGTTCCCCAAACACGCTCTCCTGGCAGGGGCTCCCAGCAGACCTCTAAGGGAAGCCACTGAGCCACTGTGAGCTCAGCGAAGAACCCTGGCAAGCGCCACTGTTTTCTTGTTTGTTTCTTTTCTGCGGGGAGGAAGGAGAAGAGAGGGTTGCAAGTGAACGCCAGAGGCTTTCGATTTAGGGGAGGAAATTCTCAGGAAAGAGGGGAAGTTAGGAGGGGAAGTCTTCTCAAAGTGATGGCAAAAATATTCTCCAACCACAAAAACATCTGAAAAAGAATTCTTCTCTTGGGGACCGAAAGGAAAAACAGAGCTTGAACTCCCTCCCCAGGCAGGTCGGCATCCATCCCTGATGGTCTCCCTGGGGCCTTTCAAACTCTGAGGGGCAGGAAGAAGGCTTCGCTCCTATAAGCAGAGCCAGGCTGCTTGGCTCGGCTTCCCCCTGCAAACTTGCCCTGGATGGCTGCCCAGCAACCAAATCACCACCAAATATGGGCAGAAAAATTCATGATTCAGAGGATAAAAAAGCCAAGGAGAGCTGCCCTGAGGAATAGTTTCCACTCAGGGCTGTGTGACTCCGGGGGCACAGAAACCCCTGCAAGAACAGGCAGGGCTGGGCGCTGGGGCAGGCTTTAGGCGGTGGTCACAGGCAGTACTGGGCTTCCTCCTCCCTCCAAGTCCAGAGGGGAGGAATTAGCAAGAACCGGGTGGGAAGTGGCCTGGGGCCCGGGAATCACCAGGACAACTGATAACTGTCTGCCTGCGGCAGAAGTCCTCAGAGGCCCCTTCAGCCCTGGGGATCTGGCTGAGGACATGACTACAGAGGGAGCTGCCAGTTCCACCCCCAGGAGAAGAGTGAACAGAATTTTCTGTGTGGGCGTAAGGACTGGTGGCCTCCTCCCACATTCCACAGGGGCTGGGCCAAGATCCCAAAGCCTCCCAGACCCTGGAGGATTCCCATTAGTGCCTGGGCCAAGCCCCTCAGGGAAAACAGGATCCAGGAGGGAAAGCTTCAAACTGAAGTCAGGCACTGGCTTCCTGACAAGAGCAATTCCAAACTGGGACCTGGATTCACCTCCACATCCCAACACCCCCAAGAAGTCCTTCCAGCTACTGAGGCCTCCTCTGGGGGAATGGTGTGGGGATGGGGGTAGGTTCTTGCTTCTCGCCCATTGCTGTTAGGTCTGAATTCTTCATGTTGGGTAGACTGTGTTTGCATATGGCAACGGTATTTCTAAACAACTGAAAATAGACTGACACGTCCCCTTTTCCTTCAACAATATATAGCCAGATAGTTGGGCAAGTCACCTTCATGTCCATGAGGTATCCAGAACTCTGACCTCCTGGCTGCCTAACCACACAAACAATTCTAATTCCAAACTGGGCGAATGGAATAGAAGCTTCAGAAGTTTTCAGATGCCCATGGGGTCACCACCTTTCTCCTGGCATCCCTCTGCACACCTCATCTATCCATGGGGCCTAGTGGGCAGGAAGGGGGACACATGCCTGGGATGGGGGACATAAATTGTGCTGTGTGAGCAGAAGGGCAGTCCCTCTGACACACTGCCTGATACCACCTCTCCCACCAGCTGCTGCAGGTTAGAGACTTCGGGTGGCCACCACCAGGGACATCCTGGGCATCTCAGGGTCAGCTTGACTTCACCTCCCTTCTCAGCCGTGCTCACTCCAAGCTCCCAGCACAAAGCTGGAAAGCAATTTCCCCGTTGGTCTCACTGCCCCCTCCTCCCTCTCAGCTAGGGAAATGTGTGCTTCCTGAGAAAAGTACAAACATGAAATTCTCTGTGCCGGGGGCGCAGGAGGGCCCCACTGGCTGCCGGGCAAGTTCTTCCTTCTTCAGGGCTCTACTCCAGGAGCCTCCAGGGCCCCGCCATGCCCCAAGCCACACAAATGCCCCTCAGAATTCCACAGTTGTGAGGAGAGCCTCAGGCAGTCAGACAGGTTTCTCTGTCACCCCTTCCAGCTTCCACATCTGGCAAAGGCCACCCAGTGACCCAGAAGGACTAACTGGGAGTCCACAGAGAGATCACTCCTGCTATGTAACAGAAACCTGGTTTCCTTGAGTGAGTGAAGGGGGAAGGAGTTCCGAGCCCTCTTCCCTTTCCTGGAGGGGGTGTGACTGAGGGAGGCAGTTTTAGAAAGATGATTCTGGGCCCAGCTGCTTCTCCGGCCCTTTCTGTCACTCTCCAAGCAGGTCAGGGCCTGGAACACACACGTGTCTGATGGCCCCCATGTCAGAGTGATGATGTCAGCCTGGAACTACACTACTTCTCCTGGGGCAGCCATCCCTCAATTATCCCATGGTGTCCTGCTGTGGCACCACTGCATTCCTTACAACAAATTGGTCTCCAATTCTGTCCCGTTAGCCATCAACCAATCTGTGAGTGTGCAAGTGTGCATATCTACACATTTGTAGAATCTCCTAGATAAGAAGGGATTAGGTTCCTTTGAAGGTAGGCCATGGGGCAATAGTCTTTCTATTAAAATCAGTTTGGTGTCCACAGTTATAACTACAAGTCATATTGATAAACAAATGGCAAGCAATAGGACATACTGGAGTATACGAAGACATTTGGTATAAAACTAATTCAGCCTGACCTTGTTTTTCCAAAAGGGCCTGATGTGGCCTTTGAACATGCATTGTATATCTGCTTTAAGTATTTACTACATCACAAAGACAAGAACAAATGCTCTTAAGATAAGGATGCAACTTCCCCCACATTGGCATTTCCTTAAGGATAAGCATTTCTCCCTAGGCTAGGATTTGATTGCTGCGCTCATCCTGTGACCACCCAACCTGAGATAACAGACCCACTACCTGCTGTGCCCATCCGAGACAGCAGACCTGATATCTGCTGTGTCCATCAATCGCTGTGCCGACAGAACAATCTTGTGACCATTGTAAAAGGGACACTGCAATCATATGTGATACATGCTCTTTGATGGTATATAACTGCTCTGCACACCCCACTTCTTTGGTGCCCTTCCTTCCTTGGGGAAGGAAGGCCCCAGGCTATATGGTCCTCAAATTTGGCTCATGATAAGTTCACCCCAATTTTGATTTATTATTTGCATCAACAATATCGCTGCCTTTGCCTATTCTGAGGAAGAAAAAACATCTAATTATGGTAGGCAAGAAAGCCAAGCGCACTTTACTTGGTCGGTGGGAGGAAAAGAGAGACAGACGTAACTCAGAAGGAGACAGAATTAGCAGGTTGGTACATTAACCTGCTCACTGTTGTTTTCAAATATGTTACCCACCTCCTTTTACGACCCTACATGAATCTCAGAGTAGTGGTTTATATTTGTTATCCAATCAGATGTTTTTCTTCTTGTCCGCGCCAAAGAGATGCAGAACTTGTATAATGGGTCAGCTCTTGCATCAGAATCAGGAAACCCCAGCTGAATACCAGGGGAAAAGTGACAGGTATAAAGGCACCCAGGCTGGATGCCAGGAAAAATAGCAGAAATACCTCAGCAGCCATTTTCAGCAGGACCAGCTGTTCCCACCCCTCACAAGATGGCCACAACTCAGAACTGCAGTCCTAGTGGACTGAGAAGACCCAGGAATCCTTAAAGCACATCCACATTCGGCCAGGAGGGGGTGCACAAGCACCAATTTCATTCACTCCCTTTTAGTGGTGGGGAAGATGCTCCAAATATGCCTCCAATGATGGGATTCTGAAAGTCGCACAAAGGAGTTTTCACCATTTTTTCTCTTCCACCCAATACTTCTACTACCAGGAAAAAAAAAACCAGCTCACAAGTAAGATATGTTTGACGAGCCTGTTCCTTGTGAATTACATCTGAGAGGCATTCAGATGGTAGGTATCATGTGCCTCCCGCTGGGGTCTCCCCTCTCTCTCAACAGACTAAATGCAGTTTCTTTAGAAGGGACAACAGCCTGATGCCCTCTCCACAGGGCATCCCACTTTTAAGCAGGGCAGCCGCGATCTGCACTTGAACACTGGTTTACGATATGCCAGGGCACCGTGAGTCACTGGTATGTGCATTATTTCATATTTAATCACAGCAACCTTGTCAAGTGGATATTACCCTCTCTTTTCATACGAGAGAAAGTGAGCCTCAGAGAGGTAAGTGCTTTCCTCAGGGTCACCCAGCCAGCGCCGGCAGAGCTGGAATTCAAACCCAAGTCAGTCTGACTCTGATGCCTGCTCTCTTGTCACGCATCACTTCCTTGGGCTCATTCATGAGGACATGGGAAGACACTGTCACTCAAGGCCACAGGTGAGCCTAAGGAAGAAGTAACCCTTCTGGCAACAAAACATGACCTCCCAAACTGCCTCAGCTCATTAGGCCCAAGCGCAGGCGGCCTTCCTCACATGGTGGTGTGCCTGCCTCACTGCTCTGTCTGACAGTTCTGGTCCAGCACCTGAGTGCTCCCCACCCCGCCCAGGGAGGAGGCAACAGGCTCCCCACTGGGGCTGGAATCAAGGTGGGGTGGTAACTGTTCGCTCCAGCCCAGGCTCAGGAGACAAGAAGTGACTAGGAAAGGAAGGAAGCCAAGAGGGCAAGAAAGAGTGAGTCACCACAGGCTGGCTGCACAGACGTTCCCCCACACCGAGTGGCGGAGGAAGTGTGCTGCGGAGAGTACGCTGATAAGCTGAGAACAGGGCAGCGTGCCAGCGGTCTGAGCCGCGGAGCACTCCTAACTTCCAGGCTCCACAGTAAACAACAGCTCGGTGGGGAGGAGGGCAGCAAGGAGGAGGAAAGCCAGGCCAGAGAAAGCACTGAGTCCTGGCGCAGCAGGATGTTCTTCTGAAGGAGTTTTTGAGGGAAGAGTAAGTCCCAGCTACGTCTTGCCCTTACATGCCTCACTCTTCCCCTCTGTAATTTAGAACAACAAATAGCGGAATCTTTGAGGAGGCTCAGCTGTAAACAGGCCAGGAGAAAAATCAAAGAAAAGGGGAATGGGGAAGAGGTGTCTCGGGTTCAGATTTTGGATTTTCTTCAGGTTTGGAGAAGTGATGGAAAGAGACATTCAAAGCCCTCTTCTGACCTTGAGATCATTAACACCACAGATCATCTCATCCAGGGGTTCCTAAGGTAGGGTCAGTGAGTTTGTGACCCCTTCAAGTGGTAAACTGTGTGTGCACACATTGGGGTGTGTGTGTTTCTCTGGGGAGAAGGTCCAGAGCTTCCAGAGCTACTGGGGTTGAGACCCAAAAAGAGAGGGAGACTCACAACGTAGAGGAGGAAATGGAGACTCGAAGAGGTAGGGCTTGAGAGAGGGTAGCCAGATCAAGTACAGGATGCTTAGTTTTTAGTATAAGTATGTCCCATGCATATTTGGGACATACTTATACTAAAAAAAAAAAAAATTATTCATTGTTTATCTGAACTTCAAATTTAACTGAGCGTCTTGTAATTTTATTTGCCAAAATCTGACAACCTTACTTTGAGGTGACAGAGTCACAGCCCAGCCCAGACCCCAGCTCTCCCACTCCCTGGGACTGAGCTATCTCTCTCCACGCAGAGCCTTTAAGAGCCACAAACTACATTAAAGAAAACAAACAAGTCCAAAACCCACCCTTCTGAAGAAGCTGCTTCAGCGTACTGAGCTGCATGCTATGGGACCAGGAATCCCCCTACCCACATGGAGCTGCCAGGGATCCTACCTACAGACACTGGCACAACGACAGAACAAGGGGGACAAACCTAGGGTACAGTGTGCTCTAGCACTTTCCTGGACTTAGAATCTATTCCAGAGCTGCTTTTACTGCTCTGAAGACAGGAGAAAGTTATATGCCAGAGCAAAAAACCCCCAAACAAAATAATAAAACCTCAGCAGATCTTTTAAACCATAATCAAGAGCACTGAAGAATGCCGAAGGCAGGGAGAGGGAATCTGACAATACCCACCAGAGAATTCTCCCTGGAGGCTATGAAAAGTGAGCTGTGCTTTCTGTGGACATCTCCTGATGCTCACTACTAAGACAGGTCCTTGGGTGTAATGACGTGAAAGCAGACACTTCCTAGTGTCTCTGGATTCTGTACAGTAGAGCCACCCTCAGTGCAGCTAAGGACATGCCCCCACCCCCTGGCCCCGGCCGCCCCTCACCAGTGTAACCGCAGTGCGTGGAGGAAGGCCGAGAGGCCCTCCATGATCAGAAGGATGGCCACGGTCAGGGTGGCAAAGGCGGCGAAGATGAAGAACAGCGCCAAACCTCCTGCCAAGCTCTTCACATTTAGGCCGATGTGGATCACCATGGTCCAGAGCACCTCAGACAGCTCTGTGGAACAGGGAGAGACATGACATCCAGTTCAGTTTGGCAAGAGGCACTGTGGGCCTTGCATTTTGCTCTGCCATCCCTCACCTGTGGTGTTCCTTGTGCCCTGGCTACCTGTGACCTTAGTGGGACCGTGCATAGCTAACCTAGCAAAAGTGCTGATCCTCCCATCTGGACACAATTCTCCCTGGATTCAGGAGTCTGAATATTTCCAGACCCTTTATGTAATTTCCACTCTATTTAAGCCCCTCACCTGAGAGAGTTCCCAGAGAAGGAGAAAACCACAAGTTTTCAATCTGAGAGAAATACACTCACGTGCATGAGCGAGGCTGAGGGCCCAGAGCCGCAGGTAGGAGGCAGTGTTGGAGATGCAGCCCAGGCAGTACTCGATGGTGTGGATGGCCTGGTGGACCATGGTGTCCCCAAAGTCAAACTGTTGTGGGAGGAAACCAGAGGGAAGATATAAGGCGGTGGGAGGGGATACACAGGAGTATGAGCTGTGGCCATTTGGCACTTTGGGCCTGGGCCTGAGCGCTGGCACTAATGGCTACATGGGCCAGGAGCCCCCAGTGTTGAACTCAGGTGGTGATTTCAGCTATGCCGTCCCCAGAAATCCTGCCTGGCTTAGCCCCCAACTGGGACACCTCCATTCCCCTCAATACACTACATATTAATGAACTACATCTTAATGACATTCTTCTCAACACGGTTATTTTTTCTCCCTCCTAGGCTGTGAGCTCAAGAGTGGAGTGTACGCCAAGTTAAGACCACTCAGAGAAAACAACTGTCTGGACGCAGGACTCTAAGGAGCTGCTGCTGGACCCGCTCTAGCTGACTTCCACATTAAGGTGTCTGAGAGAGAAGTGCCCTGAATAAGCCATGAGGCGGGAAGGGCTTTTCCCTGCACTGCGCTTCAGGAGACAGGCTATCAACCAGGAACTGCCTGGAGAACACTACACCTCTACAGCCACTCCACTGATTACTGTTACAACCTGTTGGAAGCAAGATAACCTCCTTTTTCTTATGTGACTTCTGAAAATATTACACAGGGAAATTTGGGCAAAAGTTTTACAATTTCCTACTTAGATAGTTGATTAAGACCAAACAGAACATCTATTGGTGTTTGTTTTCCTCACACTCCTTTTCTTCCAGTGTTCTTTTCAACATCAAAATTTATTTCCAGAATAAAGGGGTAGGGCTGGAATAAGCCTTCAGGAGTTCACTCTTAGGACTGCTCCCAGCACAGCTTGGGGAGAGTACAGGTGTGTTGGAGAAGCATCAGGTGCATTTCTCGGCCTCTCACTCTGTGGGTGAGCAATCAACAGCCACTGAAGAACACAAGGCGGTTCCCTTCCCGGGCCCCTCTCCACACAGCCAGACCAGACCCTCAGAAGCAGAGGGCAGCGGCCCAATGGGCCTCCCCAGCCTGCCCTGCCCTCAGGTCACAGTCTGTATTCCACCAGTTTCTTTGAAGACTCACATGACTCCACGCCCAAAGGATACTAGAACTGCCTTGGGAAATCACATGAGGGCAGGACGAGAGAAGGGGCTGGCCGGAAAAGGGCTAACAGCCAAGGCCTCATGGGTGCTGCCAGTGGGGATAGGGGCTAGCTTGGAGACACCTTTGGGCGGCTGCCTCATTTTCCTTCACCTCTGGCTATCTACACTCAGACTATTTTTGGGCTTTTCTTCTGGAATAGGCTCTTTAAGCCTCCTGGTTACCCTGAAAACGGGTAATCCTAGTTACCTCAATCTCAGCAATGCTGTTAAGAGCTCTTTCCACCACTGCTGGTATCACCCCAAAGCGTGTGCTCAGAGAAAGGAAAGGTCCCCGGCTCCAAGGACTGCAGGTCTTTACTCCCAGGAGCTCTAGGAAAGCAGGAAAGCAGCGACTGCTGGGCTCCCTTAGAACCAGCCCCTTTCAGCATTTTTATTCCACCTCAGAGTTTCTCCCATTGAAAAAAAAAGAACAGAGAAGTGGGGGAAGCTTCCCTTCCAGGCATCACCCTAGCTTTCTCCTCTCTCTCTTTCCTAACTTCCTGCTTTGTAACCTTGGGCAAGTTTTCTCACCTATATAATGGGGGAAGATAAAGGTGGGGTGAGAATTGACTGAGAAATCCAGCCAAGCACTGAGGAGTCTGTCACTGCCCCAACATAAGTCAGCTATGACTGACCCTGAATCGCTGCAGACTCCCTGTCTACATTCTCTACTCTCTTCCTCACCGCCCATCCACTCACCTACTGCACCCAGGCTTCTACCCTCTCTGCTCCACAAACCAGCCCTTCTTGGCACGCTCACCCTTACCTCCCAGTCGTGAGGCCTAACAGACATTCTGTGTCCTGACTGAGCCTCTGCGGTGTCTGTCACCACGGCCTTTTCCTCCTCCCTCTTGAGACACTCACCTCCTCTTGGTTTTCCTCCTACCTCTCTGAACGTTCCTTCTCAGTCTCCATCTTGGTTCTTCCTTAACTGCCAGAGTTCCAGCCTCAGCTCTTACATCTCTCCTGTGGCACTGCCACTCAGGGCTGCAACGGCCACCCCTAAGGGTGACTCCTAAACGGACACCTCCATGTCTGCATTGCCTATTTCTAACTAGCTGTGCTGCATCCCCTCCTGGTGCACCACAGGCACTTCAAACTCAACACCACCCAAACTAAACTAATTACTTGCTCTCCTCTGACCCACCAAGACCTGCTTCTTCTCCATGTCCCATGTCTAACAGAGTGTCACTACTAGTGCTCCAGGCATCCAAGCCTGGAAGTCAATCTTGAATCTTCACTCACTCTCACTGCCTGCATTCATCAAGGCACTGGGAACTATAGCTTTTACTTCCTTAATCTCATATTGGCCCTTCCTTTCCAACTCCTCCTGCAAATGCCTTACTTCACTTCAGGCCTCCCAATCCTTTCCTGACTCAAATCAGACCGGCTGGTCTCCATGCCTCCAGACTGTGCCCCTCCCCAACCCAATATACCCAAGAACACCCCCACCAGGGTATTTCAGCAATGCACATGTGCTGTGTCACTTCCAGCTTCACCACCCTCTGACAGCTAGCTCCTTGTTACCCAAACACTCTGCTATGGCTGGTTTCTGCCAACCTTGTCTCACCTCTCACCAGTCCCCCAACTCCCGACTCTGAGCTCCAGCCATGCTGAATACTTGCTTATCCCCAAAAGGTGACGGGCCCGCAGGCCTCTGTGTCTCTATGACACCTATACATACTGATGGGTCTGCATCCCTTCCCTCCCTCCACAGATTCCTCTTGACCAGACTAAGCACAACAATAATTCCTTAGGGAATCCTTTTCTGGTCTCCTCTTCCCCACCCCCACCCCAGTGTTTGTCTAGTGCTCTCTTTCTGTGCTCCACAGCTTCATGGGCACACCTTGATCACAGACAGCATCTGTCACCCAGACTGTCTCAATTTGTCTGGGAGTTCCTTGAAGGCAAGGACTATGTTTATCTTCTCTCGGTTTCTGCAGCACTAAACAGAGTGCTTGACACATAGAAGGTGAATGAACGGATGGGTGGGATGAATGAATGAATGGATGGGTTGCATGAATGCACCTGGCAAGATGACACAGTAGGGAGAGGTGCCACTGAGCCTTGCTGAATGGTTACAGCCTTCAGAGATTTCCCAGACAATCAACTGGCCTGGCCCTGGTTTGCAACTGAATTGAGTGTTCCCCCCCAGGGAGAGGGACTGCTCTTTCCTCCTGGCTGGAGCAATGGCCTGCAGGGGGCAAACAGGTTTTCACAGCCAAGCAAAATGGGGAAGTTCTAGAAGAAGTAGGCTGGATTAAAAAATAAAAATCTGTTTTGTTTGAAATCTTTAGATAACTGTGACAGTTATCTAAATTTGGCTATAGAGAACTAGACTGTGTATGTACCTGATAAAGAGAAAATGTTATGACTACTTAGATAGCTATGGGAAGCTGAACCCCTGAGGCAGCTGGGGGGCCAGAGACTGGGGAGGCTGAATTACAATCCATCTTGTTTGGATGTCCAACTCCACTGGGCCATAGCTACAAATGAGGATCGTTCTGACAATGACCATGGTATTGGGTGCTCAACTAGGAAGACATTTGGAAAGAGCTGTATTGTCAGAGGTGGTGTTACTGGGAGAAGGCTGGGCTCCTCACTAACATGAAACACAGTCCCACCCAGCCCTTCCAGGCAGCTCAGCCAGTGACTGTGCACAGATGAGTGGTCCAGAGGAACACAGAAGCTCCTGGATGCCAGTAAAGGAGCCTCCCCAGCCTTCAAGAAGACCGAGCACTGTCTGTTTTTATACAGAACAGCAAAGATTTTCCTATTCCCTTCCCACTGCCCCCTTAGAGAGGACCAGGAGAGTTAGGAAAGGAAGGGTTCATGAGTCTAAGTATTTTACAGGAAGTTTTGGGGGAAGATGCAAACAGTGCAGCAAGGTTTTTTAATAACCCAGTTCAATACTGGTGTATGGCTAAACGAATTATTGCTGAGCTAGAAGGCCTTCTACTCCAGATGTGGCCTGAATATTTAGTCAACTTTCTCTCTATTCTCTATGCGTGCCTGGTATAATATGAACTCCTTTCACACAGATGGGTTATTTTTTCTGAGATGCATTGGAGAGGCAAAGCCTCCTTTGAAAGCTGTCTACCTTCCACCTTGGTGACATGGAGGTAGAGCTGACCCCAAACAAGGGTCCAGCCATTCTCACTTCAAACATCATCAAGCTGATGAGGGCAGCAGGAAGAGGCTGGCTGCATCTCAGACAGGCAGGAAGAGTGAGCTTTACTCACAAGCACTCAGAGGAGCAGGGAGGAAACAGCTACTTCCAGTGGCAGAGCGACCATACATAACATCACAGGAGAGGGAGACAGAGGCCAACGGGATTTAATCCCCAAGGGGAGTCACATCAAGAATGCCATCACAGACATTACTTGTAGCTCCTTTCAAAGCCATTCTCAGAGGTATTAGACCAGCAAAGTCAATGAAACAAAGACAGAGGTGACTGACAGGAGATGCAGTTAATGGAGATGAGCTTTTTCAGAACACGGGTTCATGAACTGGTTAGAAAGGGCCAGTGAGATGCAGGATGTGTGAGTGTCATGTTCCCAGGACACGGCAGGGTCAGCAGAGTGATCACAAGGATGGGAAGAGAAGCCCCAGATACACATGAAGGCAAAGCCAGCTTGTTTCTTACCACTTCGTCCTCGGTAGGCTTGAAAACACAAATTTACACTTAGTGGGAAGTCACGCCACACACAAGGTCACAAATCATGAGCACAAGGCTACTGACTGCTTCTTTGGGAGGACTGTTAATATTAAATGGGTCTAATGTGTTGGAGGCAGGCCTCCTTAGCACATGCAGAAAGCAAATCAGCAGGAGTTAGAGCATTAAGAAACATATTTTTAAAAGGCACCCCAACCCTTGCAATTTCTTTTTAAAAAGTCATACACATGGTAGAGATGGTCAGTCAGACTGAAAAGTCCAGTCACCTGGGTCCTCAACTCCTATTCTATTTGCTTTAAAAAGAATACAATAAATAGACGAGATTCAAAAGTTCAGTTCAGAGGTGCTATGGTATGAGTGGTTAGGCAAGGAGACTGCATTTTAAACAACTGAACTTGGAGGTGGTAGTTTAAGGAAAAGTCTAACTTGGCCTTACTATTTTTCACTCTCCCTGTAAAAAGTAGGCAAATAACATTTTTAAAAGGCTCAAATAAAGTATCTGCAACAAGAGGACATCAGTGGGACAGGACTTCAAAAGCACCAGTGATTACAGTTCCAGCTGGAACATTCTTAGAAGGAGCAAGGGATGAAGAAGCTGCCCTAAGTGGCCTGTGTTTCTGGTAATAAGAGCTGGAAAGCTGGGGCCTACTCTGCTCAGTCCTGAGGAGAGCGGTTAGTACTGAGATCTGCATGCAAAGGACTGCAGGCAACCCGGAATTTGAGAAGTCGGACAACGGAACAAAACTGCGGCAGGCTCTGCAGGCAGCCCCTGGAGTTTAGAGCAGGGGCCCACTGGAAAAAGCTGTGGTGCCCTAAGAGGTCCAGAAGGCAGGCTGATCATTAGTATTCGTATTTTCATTTTTCAAGGAGAAGACTAGAGTGAGGCAACTTAGGTACACAAGACTAGGCTGACCCGAGGTGGAAGGAGAGGCAGCCCACACCACTGGATCTTACCTCTTCCGCGTCCTCTGAATGGGTGGAGAGCTGGTCATGCTGAATAATCTCAGCATCCTCCTCTGTCGGTCCGTTGCCCACCCTGATCCCACCAAAGTTCAGAGTTCCCTACACAGATGAACACAAAGAGTAGAATTTGCCTGGGCTTTAATGTGACATTCTGTGAAGTGGGGAAGGGCGATGGTTAGTACATATAAACCTCAGAAAAGCATATATTCTAACAACAAAAACAAAACCCACTGATCAAACAGCTAAGTAAAAACAAACCACTGTTCCCACCCCAACCACCACCGCCCCAGCCCCAACCTACATTTACCACCTCATCTCGATCAGAGGAAATACGCAGTTCTGCCTGCTGCACCAAGAGACACCAACCTCGCCTTGGTCAATGCTGAGACTCCTGCTTGAAGGAAAAGCTTAATACGAACAGACTCTTATAACAAATGTAGCTCTATCTGTAAAGCCTTCAATGGCCTAAATTTTTCTGAAACTAAAGATTAGACTTTCTAAGAGGGAGGGGAGCCAAATGACATGGTGATTGTAACCTGGTCTGATAAGCTTTCAACAGGAGCCGGAGAGTTCCAACCTCTCCCAGAAATGTACCAGGTCTTTGCCCAGGAACAAAAGGACTTCCTAGGTCAGGGAAGGAAAAAAATGTTTAATTACATTAGCTTATGGCTACAGAATACTGAGAAAAGAAAAAAAAAAAGAGGATTTTTTTCCCTTTCTTTCAATGGAGGATTCCGGAGTATTCAAACAACTCTTCTATAGCCATGCGGCCAGATGCTGACTGGGTGTTTGCTTCTTCCCACTTCCCAGCCATAGTTTTCAGCAGGGTCTCCAGAACCAGAATTTCTAAATCAACCTGATTTGGAAAAGCTTGGGTTGATTGAGGTAAAAGGACTCTTTGGGTACAAAAACCAGGCAGAACTGGATTAAGTCTGACTGATACCAATTAGCACTAACCTGCCACAGAGTGAAAAGGATCTGAAGAAACAGCCCCTAGACCCACTTCCTATACTTTCTGTCCAACGACCAAACAAGGCAAGAATCTGAAGACTGATCTCCTGCAAACAGCCTTGCAGGCAGCAGCACAAACAACGTGCAGCAGTTTTGGCCAACTGCCCTAAGGTCCCCACTCGCAGCTTCACATTTTGGTGGTCACCTTTTACCACAGCTTACTAACCATCAGACGTCAGGGTTTGGGCAAATTCCCTCTTCTTCTACCAGTGGTTCTCACATGCTGGTCAGAGAATCAGTTGCATCAGAATCACCTTGAAAGCTGCGTTTCATTAAATAGAGATTCTTGAATACTACCCCAGAAATTGGAAATTTAGTAGGTATGGGGTGAAGCCTAGGAAATCTGTATTTAAAAAAATATTTCCCCAAGTATACACTGTGTAATCATTTTGATTGTCTATCAAAATTGAAAACGCAAGCAGAAGAAAATGCATGTACCCTTTGAGACTCAGCAATCCTACTGCTGGGAACATCTATGCTTGTGAAATTTTATCAAGATACATGGACAAGGATGTCCCTGCACTGTTATTAGTGATAGCAAAGAATTGGGAACAACCAATACATCCATCAACAAGAGAGTGGTTACATCACTTTAGTACATCCAACAGAACGTTCTATGGAATGCTAGGCAACTATAAAAGAATGAGGATGACTATGAAACAATCTCCAAGATACACTAAATTTTTAAAAACCTAATAAAGCAAGGGGCAGAAGAGTGCCACAGTTTAAAACACAATTCCTAATGTGTTTTAAATATATATATATACGTACATACACATATTTATATCAACAGATGATAAATATATGCTAATATATGCAGAAAATAATTTGAAGGCAAAATTCTCCATCTGTTAACAATACCCTTGGGGAAGAGAAGGATGCTGGGGACAAGGAGGCCTTACTTTCAGTACTATTTGCATTCTCTAACCAAGTGCACCTATTGCTTTAATTTTATTTTTTAATGTCTGAAGGGAATTGTCTGGGTCATGGAATTCTGGGCCATCTCTATTTCTTCTTCCACTTATCTGTTTTAATACCCTATGAAATAAATTTAAAGCCCACCAGGTGATTCTGACGTGTGGTCAGATTGGGGAACCACTGAAGCCCTGGCACCTCTAGGTCACGCAAATATTACACCTGACAACCTTGTAAAGGTAGAACAGAAGTGCAACAAAGGCACTGGTGACAGGAGAGCACTCCAGCGTATCCTGGGATGGGGTTACAGGGTAGAGGGGGCAGGCTTCAGGCTTCAAGGCTCCTAAAGCAGAAGGCCATTTCTGAAGCTTTCCCCCACCAGCAGATAAAGTGAGAGGCAGAGAGGTTAAACTTCCCACCCAGACACTAACAACTGTCCCTTCAGACATAGGGGAGGAGAGTTATAGGAAGGGGGATGAGACACACACATCAGCAGAAAAAGAAAAGAAAAAATCAAACTGTGATACACCGCTTACAGACAACCAAGAGGACACAGAATACAACAAAAACAGATCAGTGTTCATATCTTCAGCCCTCAGGGTCAAGAATCCAGGGCCCATGTTGAGAATGATCATCCTGATGCCTTCAGGCAGCTCTCTAGAAACAGATGTTTGGCTAAAGAACCAGTGGGCTAAGACCCTAGAATGTGCAGGTATCCAGACTGAGGAATTTTAACTTGGATAGTATCATAGAAGAGGATGCCAGATTTAAAAGCATCAAGACTGACACATCAGAAGCACATCTTAAATATATTAAGACTAGGGCCTGTCCCGTGGCTTAGCGGTTAAGTGTGCGTGCTCCGCTGCTGGCGGCCCGGGTTCAGATCCCAGGCGCACACCGATGCACCGCTTCTCCGGCCATGCTGAAGCCGCATCCCACATACAGCAACTAGAAGGATGTGCAGCTATGACATACAACTATCTACTGGGGCTTTGGGGGAAAAAATTTTTTTAAAAATTTAAATATATTAAGACTTGCAGAAAGAAGAGCACATGGAAAGAATGTCAATAAATGGATAGTATGTGCTTCAGATTTTTTTTTTAATTTTTCATAGGAAAGGAGAGAGTAAATCCCTACTTGAAAATAATTTTAAGTGGCAACATTAAAATACCTTCTGACCCAAAAATATCAGCCTTTTTTTTTTTTTTTTTTTTAAAGATTTTATTTATTTATTTTTTGCCCCCAAAGCCCCAGTAGATAGTTGTATGTCACAGCTGCACACCCTTCTAGTTGCTGTATGTGGGACTCGGCCTCAGGATGGACAGAGAAGTGGTGCCTCGATGCACACCCGGGATCCGAACCCGGGCTGCCAGCATCGCAGCGCGCGCACTTAACCACCAAGCCACAGGGCCGGCCATCAGCCTTCTTAAACTAGTTCTAGAAAGATAATTATAGCAGTTTTCTAAGTTTAAAATGATCAGATACACCTAATGAAGGCAACGATTATCCATCTAAATATTTCATTTTATTTTAAAGGAGTATGATGCTATTAGAACACAATAGTACATGAGTAATCACTACTAGGGAGATTTTGAAAATCTCATACATTCATGACCTGGAACAGATTGGGCTAATTTGATATTAGCACATTATAAGATTTTGGTTAAGAGATGTTTTTAAGGACAAATATTGAAATGCTTAACACTCAAAGTGCTGTTCCTGAATCATGAGTTAGTACTGGAAGAAGAAAGGTCAAAACAAAAGATGACTTTGGTTATTACACCAGATATAGAGTACACACAAGACACAGGGCAGAGTGGAGTTTTCACAGGAACAGCTGAGGACATGGGGGCTTCTGAGTCTCTCACAGAAAAGTAGACATGAATAAGCTTCCACTGGAAAGAGGGTGAGTCACAGCTGAAACAGACCAAATGTCCAAGCATCACTCTGAAGCAGAACTTTAAAGTACAGGGAAATCAATTCAAGAATCAGAGATGTTCTTGCTCCACGCTGAAAAATCATCCAGTACACTGTCACAAAATACAGACATGAAAGTGGATGACTCCAAGAGCTGCCATCTTGGATCAAGATGATGAGATTCGGAGAGGGGACAACAGCCACTCTGCTTCCACAGACATGACTGTATTTACATATTTGAATAGAGACTTAGCAGACCAATTGTAAAGATGGTATCAGAATCTATTCATAAGAGGTGGAAATCTCTTCTGTCATCATCTCAATGAGTAACAAAGATGTACTTCCCAAGAGCACACATGTCCCATGCTCTCAACATAGTTAAAAAAGATTCTGCTGCACTGTTTCCACCTCTTTAAATAACATATGATGGTTTTTGGGTTTAATTCACTCACTGTTGCAGCTGCTGCTGCCTCTAGTCCCTGCTGGCTTGGGGGTGGGCTGACTGGGGCCTCCACAGGTTGCCCTGCCTGATAGTGAATGGAAGAAAAGAGGACGGAAGAAGGAAACAAAAGAGGGAGGGAGTGAAGGAGAGACGAATGGAGGGTACATGGAAGGATGAAGATGGTCAGAAAAGGGAGAAAAAGGGCCTTGTAACTCAGCTGCTCTCCATCCCTGGAATAATGGTCTAACAGCTGTATGAGTCATGCAACAGGATCTTTTGGGTTTTACCAAGCAGTGTAATATAAGCATTACTGCATAGCCAGAAATGAACATTTGGCAACTTAGGGGGGTGTGTGTGTGTGTATGTGTGTGTGTGTATGTACATTTCATATGCACACATACACCAAGTAAGCACAAGTATGTATGTTGCTTTTTAAAAAGAAAAAAAAAAAATCAATATGCTTTAAACCAAATCTTTTTCCCGGATGTTTTGGTTGGTGAAAGTATCATGGTCTCATTTTAAAAGAAAATGTCTCAGCGTCAGCCCTGTGGTTGCCCAGGCAAACCACATGAGTGGGTTCACCCATCTGTGGCTCTTGCAGCCTTGTTTAATTGCTGCTGCAGCTAGACAGGCCCAGACCTGGATCTTGCTGAGCACAGCATGAGCAAAGCATGACCAGGAGAGGTAAAAACTTATGACTTGTTCTCCCTACCCCAGCTACTCAAAGAATCTAGATGTCCAATCAGCAAATACATGTCTTTTTTATTTCATCAGATCCAATGCTCACACTTGGATATGACACAAATGCATTTTAAGAGTATATAGACTGATGCACAATTCATTATAATGAGGAACTGCTTTAATCTTTAAAAAAAAAATCTAGTAAATTTCAGCAACAAAAATACACCCACCAAATGCTTCCTCCTCAAATATTGATGGCGAAGGACCAGTGGTTTAATCAGTAGCATCCAAGGTACACACAGTAGTGCAACCACTACCAAGAAACACTGAATTCCTTTCTGCAAAGTAAGAAGGACAAGGCACATCACATTGAATCAAACATGTAGTTTCTAACTCCAGCACAAATTTCCCCCAAAACAGTATTTTCTCACTGATCTATGAATAACACTATCCAGTTTCTCAAAATAATTAGCAGATGTTGTGGCAAAGCCAAGGAATTGTCCTGTAGGATAAAAGTTATAAATTCTACCCTTTCTGGATACAGAAATTACAGTAGACCCTCCCAAGTGAGGATGGGCTGAATTTAGATCTGGATATATGGACTGAAAACCAAATACTACAGAAAGGGATTTTTTTAAGGCTTTTTTAGGGTCACAGAAACATCTGGCTTCCTGATCTAGGGTAACTACCTAAGACAGTCCACCTCTGGGTTGACGCACCTGTCCAGAATACAGCATTGAGTTACCAGAGTCTGAGTAGGAAAAGAGAAACATGTTTATGAAATGGATCAGAAGGCTTGGTGCTTGCTTAGATGTATGAGCGTCATAGGCTGTCCACTTGTAAAAAATAAGGATAACCAAGTAGCCAAACAAACAGGTCATGAAGATTATTTCAGGAATAAATCCAAAGTAGATATTCAGAGGCTTCTTGAAATAGCTAAAAACAGAGAAAAAAGTGTTAAAGGAGAACAGATCGAGAGGCACCACTACACCAAGTGGAGCACTCACTAGATTTCCTACCTAACACTTCCTCAGTTCTGTCTTTATCGCTCTAAGGAGCAACAGCCAGAAGCACTGGAGGCAACAGAGACAAGCAGGGTTAACTATGACTTCCAAACTTTTGGATCTTGAGCAGCTCCGGTACCACCCCCACCATTCTCCCATGAGAAAGAGATTGGGAAATCTAGTACATTCTGAGACCACAGTTCATAATTTTATGTGAGTTACACATCAAGGAAAAAAATAACTCACTCACTTTGATGAAAATTATACGAGGTTTTTTCAAAGATCTTAACTACAATTGTAAATTGTGAAGGGACTAATATTAATTAAACTTCATTTAAGAACATAAGATTTTTATAAAAGCACTTCTTTAACGCAGAACAGGGTTCTGAGTTATTAATCCCTCCCCAAAGATGTTATGACTTTTTAAAGCAAAAGCATTATCTAAACTACGTGCACTATTTTTTTTTTTTTTTTTGAGGAAGATCAGCCCTGAGCTAACACCCATGCTAATCCTCCTCTTTTTGCGGAGGAAGACTGGCTCTGAGCTAACATCTATTGCCAATCCTCCTCCTTTTTTTTCCCCCAAAGCTCCAGTAGATAGTTGTATGTCACAGCTGCACATCCTTCTAGTTGCTGTACGTGGGACGCGGCCTCAGCGTGGCCGGAGAAGCGGTGCTTCTGTGCGCGCCCGGGATCCGAACCCGGGCCGCCAGCAGCGGAGCGTGCGCACTTAACCGCTAAGCCACGGGGCCGGCCCATAAACTACGTGCATTCTTATGACAGAAACAGAGTGGCTCACGTATGGTTGAAGAGGCTCAGGCTGACTCCAAACATCATGTGGATGATACCTAGGATAACGGACATCTTCATCTTAAAGGAGTTGAGGAAGGTCAGTTTATTGGTAGCAATGTTCCAAATCTGTCACAACGCAAGAAAACAAAAAGGTATTACAAAGAGTTCTCAAATGGAAAAATATTCACCTATTTTAAAAAATGGTTTTTTTTTTAAATTATGGACAATTATAAACATATACTTAAGTAAAGAGAATAGTATTACAAAATCTCATGTATCTATCACCCAGCTTCAACAATTACTGTTAACTTATCACCTCATGGTCAATCTTGTTTCATCACATCCCCGACCCACTCCCAACCCCCATATTATTTTGAAGCAAAATCCAGATATCATATCATTTTACCTGTAAATATTCCATTTTACCTGTAAATATTCCATTTTACCTGTAAAGAGCTCTAAAAGGTAAGGCTTCATTTTTAAAACATGACCACAATACTGTTCTCACACCCCAAAGCATTAAAAATGAGTTTTTAATATCACGAAATATTCAAATTTCCCCGATTGTGTCCAATTTTTTTTGTAATTCATTTATTGAAAGTTGGGTCCAGATAAGGTCTACTCAGTGTGATTGTTGATACAGCTCTTCAGTCTCTAATCTATAGGTTCTCCCTCCAGCTCTCCTCTTGTAGATGTTCCCACAGCCTGCATTTTGCTGATCATATCCCTGAGGTGTTGTCGTTCCATTTAAATATTAATTGCCTTAAGCTTTGTCACCTAAGGCCTGGACGCCTGTAATATTTTCCTGATAGTTCTTCTGCCTCCACTTGACCATCAGTTTACGTTTCCTAAACCCTGACTGATGGAGTCATTTTCCTGTGCCAAAACCTCCCCTGAACTCCCACTGTCACCTCTAGGCTGAAGCGCAAACTCTGTCGCCCGATAAGCCAGCTCTTCCACCATCTAGCCTGGCATCTTTTTTCCTGAACTGGCCTCTTCACGAAGAGCTCATCTCCGGTGACCTCTAATCTGAAAACTGGTGACTGGTTCTCTCTCCTTCCCCAGTCTCACCTGAAATTCAGTTCTACAACTCCAACTGCCTGACGGACATTGATACCTGGGTGTCCCACAGGCACTTCAAACTCAATATCTACCCTGTAAGCATCAAATGAGATGTCTGCAAAAAAACCTTTGTAACTACAGAACACTATATAAATGTGAGGTAATATTATTATTATTAGACTCCAAAATATTTGAGGGTAGGAGCTATGTCTTAAAATTATGTGTTTCCCCCAGCAGGCACTATGCCTTACAGACAACAGAGATTCAATAAACATTTGTTAAAGGCATATGTGGGGCCGGCCCCGTGGCTTAGCAGTTAAGTGCGCGCGCTCCGCTACTGGCGGCCCGGGTTCGGATCCCGGGCACACACCGACGCACCACTTCTCTGGCCATGCTGAGGCCGCGTCCCACATACAGCAACTAGAAGGACGTGCAACTATGACATACAACTATCTACTGGGGCTTTGGGGGAAAAATAAATAAATAAAAAAGGCATATGTGAAATGTTATTAAACCTCTCCAAGCCTCAGCTTCCTTATCTGTATAACAGGGATAGCAGTATCTACCTCATTGAACTGTTTTTTTTTTTTTTTTTTTTTTTTTAAAGATTTTATTTATTTTATTTTTTCCCCCCAAAGCCCCAGTGGATAGTTGTATGTCGTAGCTGCACATCCTTCTAGTTGCTGTATGCGGGACTCGGCCTCAGGATGAACGGAGAAGTGGTGCCTCGATGCGCACCCGGGATCCGAACCCAGGCCACCAGCATCGCAGCGCGCGCACTTAACCACCAAGCCACAGGGCCGGCCCTACCTCATTGAACTGTTTGAGGATAAATCAGATACGCTGAGGGCTCAGTACAGTGCCTGGCCCATAGGAACATTTCAGTAACATTAGATTCTACAATAATTAAAATAATTAACTTTGTACTTCCCCACCTCTAAGCTTTTGCACACAATTCTCCTCATATAAAACAGTCTGCAAATTGTTTTAAAGGCCAGAGTAATTCCCATTTTTTACAAGAAATTTTAATCTTTCCAGCTCACTTTTCCTTTGGAATTTTGTAATCCTTACTGTCTAATGCATATTCTTAAATTCCCCTTCTCCCTTTTTTAAGCATACAATGCAAAAGATTTGATCACACTTTATTTGCCTAAGTATTTGAAAAAAGTTAAATTCTGGGATAATTTTTTATAAGTATGCAAAGATAAGAAGGAAAATCTAAAACCCATAGGAAAGAACTATTTCTGCTTTGCTAAAACATCTGCTAAAAATAAAAACCAAACTAAGTTAAATAGAAATAAATTAACCTGGGAAGGAGTCTTGAAAATCAGTCTTCCCAGAGTCACTATCATTAGCCACCTCAGAAATAAGTAGTACAGGGAAAATGATTTGCTCCCAAGGCACTTGGGTCTCTTACGGCTTTGAAGTACTCTGGACAGATGCACCAAGGTTTTCCAAAAATATGTTAAGCAAAAACCAAATAACTATTTACCTTCACTTTAATTCTCTCACTTCAGGGTTACAGTTTAAAATTTTGGTGTTAGATATATAGAAAAGAAGTGCTCTTACTGGATCGATGCCGAAAGGATACGGTCCACCAAAAACTCCAGGGACAGCTGGGTTCAGCTGGAGAACAGGGTTCCCCCGAAGTGTCTCCTCCCTATCATGTTAGGAGAAAAGTTGCATTTATTTTTTATGAAGAGAAGGAAATTTCTGGGGTCCAGAAACTGATCCCAAAAGAAACTACTACATCTATCTTGTCCCTTCAATAAAAGAAGAGGGACCAGCATCACCAGAGAATGAGAAGGGATCGGAGATAACAAAAAGAAAAATTAAACACACATACACAACAAAGTAGGGAATTTGGGGAATCTGCTTTTAATTTACAAAAAGAATCAATGTGTCTAATTTATAGTCTCAGTTCCTTGACACTGACGAACACAAAGCACTTCCCAGGCTGGAGCATAAATAAGAGGGGACACTGCATTCTTCTGAAACAGAGATACTGTAAACCCCCTCCTAAAGAAGTATTGGTTTACAGTTTGTCCAGAAAATCAGAGCTGAACATGAAAGGAATAAGCTCTGACTTTTAGCTTCTTTGCAACTTACGTCCAATTATATATAGTGAACATCGGCCGTACGCTCCAGGATGACCCGAAGACATTCAGAGACTTGGAAAAGCAATCATTGTAGATGAGGCCAGTGTAGATGGAGAACACACCCATCAACAGAATAATGTATCGGCCGCTGAACACAGTGCTAAACATCTGGGAACCAGAAGAAAGAAGTCAATGATACGTACTCACTGCAGCTCATGTTGTGACAATGTTATTTAGGATATACCAGACCCTTCCTCTCACACCCCTTTACCCCATCCTGGGTAAGAGAGTTTGAAGTAAAGACCAAAATACAATACTAACAAGAAATTCACTTTCACAGCATGTGGCCTCTTTAGTGTTAAAATGAACGTAACTTCACTATTCTCTAAATAGTCTCCCTACCTTCTCTATAGATTCATGGATAAAAGACTTCCAGATTATAATTTTCATAATGAATGCTTGAGAAATTATAAAGTTTCAGTCCAGTGCAGATGTAACTTAAACATTACCTCATTCTCATTCTTCTGGGAGAGGATCCGGCTCTCCCTTAACACCATCCATACAGCAAAAAGGGTCATCAAAATGCCATGGCCAAAGTCCCCAAACATCACAGCAAATAGGAAAGGGAAAGTGATGATGGTGTACGGAGCTATAAAGAAACCAAAGAGAGAAAAAGACAAGGTACAGAAAACTGCAACAACTTCCCACAGATCACATTCCCCTCCATACTCTAAGATCAATATAAGGTGACCTATTCCTAAGCTGTTGGTCAGATGGACTCTCCAAGAAAATCTCCCACGGCAGGATCTGCACACCCCTACAAAGCAGCTCTGATGGTATCTGAGCTACTGCTGGCATTTCAAACAAAGAACAAAGGAAATGAAAGTTCTGTCTCTAGCCTTGGCAACAGTATGGTTTGTTCTTCAATCCTTTTTTCTAACCCCTGGGACACTGCTCTGGGGCAGGCCAGCTTTCTTCTCTTGTGCAGCAACCAGCTGAATAAAGCTACTGGGTAAGTGGGAGAAAGCCCAGAACCTGGAGCAAAAGATTTGATCTTTTGCAGAAGGCCCAACTAAAAATGAATTCCCAGACTCTTGATTTAATAATTAACTCTCCAAACAGGAGAAATCTGCCTTGTGCCTAAAATAGTCAATAATTGCTATATTTTCTCTGTCTAACCTGCTGTTCCAACAGGGAAGCCATTTTAAAATATCAGCTATCTTGGAAAAAACTTTCTGCTTAAAGCAGTTCCTGCAAACAGTGTGCTAGAGAAGGCCAGGTGTTTTATAGCTGTGAGGGCACACAGAAGAATCCAATCCATTGAGCTCATTCCTATAAAACTCCTATAAATCCTTCTCTTAAAGGAGTGCCACTCAGTGATAAATTTCACTCTCCATGTCAAAATGGGTACCTCTTTACAGGAATTACACTAGAGTTGAGATCTTGACGACCTTTTTAATCTAGTTGTTCAATAGCATTTAAAGTGAGGCATTAAAAGAAACAACAAACACAAACCAAACCTCTAGAGGGAAAAGATTCAAGCTTTTTTACCTGGATTTATCTCTCGGTAAGTTCCAATTCCATAAGCATCCACTATGTTCTGAAAGCCATATGTGAACTTGTTTGTTTTGTTATAGGTCGGGGGAGTCTGGTTTGTCTGCATCCTGTTCAAAATGGAGGGCACGGTGGAACCACTGTGTTCCTGGGAAACATTACACATACATCAAAATTAGGTTATCTTCCTAATGTGGTGGTCGTTACACAGGTATATATATTTACCAAAACTCATCAAACTGTACACATAATATGTGTATTTTATTTTATGTAAATTATATCTCAATCTTTCCCAGTCTTTCGGGAAACTGGAACTAGGTATAAAATTTACAAGGAAAGATTTAAATTAAGTGTTAGGAAGAATATCTTGTGATTTAAAAAATTTAATTCTAAAATGTGTAACAAAAGAAAACGTGGTACTTCCTCTCTGGAGATATCTGCCTTTCTAAGTATCATTGCTCGCTCTTCCTCTTATGGAAGAAGCAAAGTTTTCTCCGACTCTGCTCCTCTGCCACCTATACTTAACTCCCTAATCTCCTGCAGTCTAGCTAAGCATGCTTATTCAAAGTGGCTGATTCATCACCAGATCCAAAGGTCTTTTCTCCCATATGCAAGCCCCAACACTGGAGATCTTCCACTTCTTTGGTGAAAATCTTTATTCCTTAGGAGTTCCCCTCCTGCTCACTAACCATTCCTTTTCTGTCTCCTTACTAGCTCTTCCTCCTTTGCCTATAACACTGTAGGGCCTCCCAAGGTTCGTTTTTTTTTTTGCTGAGGAAGATTGTCCCTGAGCTAACATCTGTGCCAATCCTCCTCTATTTTGTATGTGGGAGGCCGCCACAGCATGGCTTGATGAGTGGTGTAGGTCCATGCCTGGGATCCAAACCTGTGAACCCCAGGCCGATAAAGTGGAGCACGTGAACTTAACTACTATGCCTCTGGGCCAGCTCCCCACAAGGATCTATCTTTAGCCTCCTTATTTTCTGTCTTGGAGGTCTCATTCCCTCCCACACTCATGAATCCCATTTCTTTCTTTTTTTTTTTTTTTTAAAGATTTTATTTATTTTATTTTTTCCCCCCAAAGCCCCAGTAGATAGCTGTATGTCATAGCTCCACATCCTTCTAGTTGCTGTATGTGGGACTTGGCCTCAGGATGGACGGAGAAGTGGTGCCTCGATGCGCACCCGGGATCCGAACCCGGGCCACCAGCATTGCAGCGCGCGCACTTAACCACCAAGCCACAGGGCCGGCCCTCCATTTCTTTCATTTTGCCCTTTCTATTGAGAACCTGTTCCATTCTCTGCTTGACATTACCATGTAGATTTCAATCCATTCCTCAATGGGATGGAAACTGAACTTACCATCTTTCCCCAATAAGTTTCTCTTGCTGAACTTTTACTTGCATTAATGGAACCATTATTCTACTGGCCACTCAGCTTTGATGCCTCAGAAACATTTTAAATTTTTTCTCCTTGTATTTCTCCTGCGTGTTGCTAGAAACCAAGTATACCTACTGATTCTTCCTTCAGAATATCTCACAAATTCATCATTATTTTCTTTTCCCATTGCCAGGTCTTACCCTAGGGGTCCTTATCACTTACTACTCTGTGTTTACAATAACCTCCTAACTGACCCACCACCTACAGGCTCTCTCTAATCCCCAATCCAACCTAGGTACTATCAACGGATTACTCCTTTAAAACTCTGCTTTGATCACGTCCTTTCACTGCTAAATAACTTCCAATCCCTCTCTACTCCCTCTAAAATAAAATTTAAACTTTATAATCTGGTATTTAAAAACTCTTCAGTTAGGTTCCAATCCACCTAATCTAGGTTTACCTCCTACTCTTTCGGCTCACCCATTATAATTCCTGTTCTTGCCCAACCACGCATGGTCACACTGTACTTCCTGCCTTTGTCCATACTGTTTTCTCCTCGTCATTGCCAACTGACATTTTACCTGTTCTTCAAAGCTGTAATTAAATGCCACCTTCTTCTTGAAGCTTTTTTCGATCATCCTAGTTGGAGTGCTAGCACCCTCCCTCCACACATATACACCACTCTTAGCACAGAGTGTCTTGTATGTTTGCATGTCAGCCTCTCTAAGTAAATCATAAGATACTTGAGGGCATATTTTTTACATCTCTGTATCTCTCAGCCCCTAGATCAGTGCCCTGGACAGAGCAGTAGCTCTAACTATTGAAAAGGACTACGAGGGTTATACCACGAAAGTAGTCTAATGGACAGAGAGTGGATCAGGAAAGTGATGTTCTTTTTGTTTGTTTGTTTTTTTGAGGAAGATTGGCCCTACACTAACATCTGTTGCCAATCTTCTTTTTTTTTCCCCTCCCCAAAGCCCTAGCACATAGTTTTGTATCATAGTTGTAGAGTGTTAGCTCTTCTATATGGGATGCCGCCTCAGCATGGCTTGATGAGCAGTGAGTAGGTCCGCACCCAGGATCCGAACTAGCGAACCCCGGGCCGCTGAAGTGGAGCGTGCCAACTTAACTGCTACGCCACTGGGCCAGCCCCAGGAAACTGATGTTCTGATTGTGAGCTACCCTGAAGAAGCATGGGCATATGATCAAGTCATTTAGCCACTTCTGAACACATTTGGAAAACAAGGATGTACAAAAAGTATTATTAGGATACAAGACGAGTACAGGATGAGTATATTAAAGAACGCTGAAAGTAAAAATGACACACGAATGCAAATGATTAAATGTTATTGTTGACGGGAACCTGTCTTCTGGGCTATACACTGCACTGCTAGCTGTGGGGGACTCACCGTGCCCCTTCTAAGTGCAAACTGGATGGAGTCGAGATCGGTGACCGGGCACCAGACCTCTGCAATCAGACACTTCTGGGTCACGTCTATGTTGCACAGGTTCAGAGTGTGGTAGATGGCCTTCATCTTCCGCACTTTGATGAACCAGACACGGATGTTCTTAGCAGCTGCCTGCAGAACTCTCTGGCGGTGATCCTCTGTTTGATTCAGAACCTTTTGGGAGATAAAGAACAAGGGAGAGATCCTTCTAACACCAGTCTTAGATCTCAGGATATGAATGGCAGAGGCACAGCTTTCTGCAAAGGGTTGTGGCGATCTGTTTTCTGTTTTTTTCTTCTTCTGGCTAGAATGGCCTTTTCTTTTTCTTGCCAAATTACAAGAAATTAGAGTTCTAGTTACTAACACTCATTTTCATTTAGCCTCAAGCTGAAGAGAAACTTGAGAAAATGGTTTTTAGCTTTTCTCTCTATATTTAATATTACTACCAATCCACGGCACAACAATGTAGGTCACTGGATTTTATTTGGATCATTAAAGAGAGATGACTTTCCATGTGGAGCCTGTAACTCAGACTCAAAGAAGTCAGCATCACTGGCCCAGGAACTGACAAAGTAACAAATCCATACTTAAAAACAGCGAGTTGCAGAAACTCCTAAGCATAAGCCAGCACCAGAGACTGGTGGGAAAGAGGCAGTGCTGAACACCACCAACCACCTACGCCAAGAGAGACTTCATGCCAGGGAACAGGCGAGAGGAGACCCTGTGAGGTCAGGAGGACCCACGGCCTTTAGAGGAGATTTAGATGGCCACATACACTGTCCTCACAGGGCAGATAAGGCTTTATCTTTCTGTCAGGTTTCTTGGGTGGAAAACGTTTCAGTGCTGATCCTCTGGAAACTAGTACAGATTTCCCTCAAAGGAATCACATTGCCAAGACTAGAATGGGAGCAAGGGGCAGGGACACTTTACATTCTGCTGCCTTATTGCCAAATATTTAAGATTTCAATAGCAAAAGAGGGGCTAAGCCAAAATTGGGTAAGCAACCCACCACTCATACTTCTGCATGAAAATCTATCTTAAATCTCCACATTTCTTTGAAGGGGAAAAAGCTGTGTACTAACCATTTTAGCTTAAGTCTTCATCACAGCTGGCTCTTCAAGTCAGTACAGAAAAAAATTAGTAACTGCTCCCTGAAAAACTGTCTTGGGCAGTAGAAGGTGACTTCCATACGGAAAAAAAAAGCCATGGCCTGCTAGGGAAACTCTTGTATCACTTGAGAATAAAGGAACAAAGCTACTTTCTCTCTTTCTGGCTGACAATTTCACAATTACTATTAAAACTCCTGGAAGGATGCTAAATAAACTTGTAGGCAATGTTCTATTTGCTTTTCTCTTTCCCCATCTCCCACCCCCACATCTCACTCCTTGGTATTCAATTCCTTTTTAAGGTTTCAATTCACATAGCTGGATGTTTTAAAAATCAAATTCCGATCATTTATAATGACCACTGCACATGCTCTTTAAAATTTACCCACAAGCCTGGGAGGGGATAAGACAGCCCTAGAACGCAGAATGTACTAATATGGCCTATCACCCACCAGCAGTTCTAAAAAAACTCTCTTCCCTTGGTTAAACAGATAAGTGTATCTAAAAGGAGCTGGCAATAGGTCAAGTTGGTGGGTCATATACATTGGGGGTTGGAGGGAAAGATGAGAAAGGGAGTTGAAATGGGAGTTACAACCTATCTCTGACAATTTTGCCACTGCTGGAAAGAACTGCCTTTGGGACTAAGTATGTTTATTACCGTCCCAAGGGGGCAATCATCGCACTCTTTCAACAGGGAACAAAGCTCCAACTGGCCACCCTTTTCCTTCCATGTACACATAAATCACGACTCCTTCCTTAGAACCCTGTGACAACCACGGTGTGTGTAAGCCACATACACTGCAATCTGGTAAAAATCTCATGCAATCTCTTCTTGGGTACAAGAGTTACACCAGGGCTCTTTGGCTAGACTGTGTGGTTAAGACCCAAGGTGACCAGAAGGATACACACCAAGCTGTTGAGAGTAGCTGCCTCTGGAGGAAGTGTGTGTGTGTGACACAGTAGAATTGACTTTATACGTACTTCTGTATTATTTAATTTTTTTTTCTTAACTAAGCATACGTTTTTTTTTATTATAAAAAATATCTCAAGCTCACGAAGAGGAGGGGAATTGAATACTCCAAGCAACAACAATTTCAGAGGCATAGTATTCCTATCTCGTTTGAAGATGATTAATGCTATTTTTAACAATCATTCCCTGAAACTTTTCCCCAGTTCCCAAGGGGATATATTACCCATGGATATTTCTTTTTTTGGTATCCTGGGCTGCTGCAGGTGCCTAATAAACTAAGTGTTAGTGTTTCAAGGAAGAAGAAAGGTCTTCTATTGTAGTATTTCACAAAAACAAATTCCCTCCAGCCCTCTGTACCATTTGGAGATCATCGATCCTGGTATTAACTCCAGAAGCCATTTCCTTCCTCTCTTGTGGTGTCTCAGGACAGGGATAAAGTGAAGCCCGGAACCTGGAACATACAGACACAGCCTGAGGAACATCGAAGTTTCTTAACCTAACCCATTTAGATAATCTCAGACAGTAATCCTAACTTACTAGAAGAACCAAAATAGGATTAGTTCAGACTGATGCACTAATCAATAATAATTATTTATGAGACAGAACAGCAATATTTGAACTATCTTGACATTCTCTGAAGGTATTAAATTCCCTTAGATTAAAAAAAAAAAAAAAAAGCCAGTAATACAAGCTATATTATAAATTATTGGAGAAAAATGGCATGGAAAAAAGATCTAATGGGCAGAATTTCAGAAAAGTTTAAGGGCACAGTGCCTATGACACACTGCTGAGTGTGCAGACCCACTGTCCCAGAACAATGTAGCATTTATGAACCATGAGTCCTAATTACTTTTTTCTAAGGAAAGGAAATTGTGGTTTTGATGGTACTTTTAAAAACTGAACTTAGGCCATTTCTAATTCTTTAAAATAGCTCTAACATTATTAAAATATATATTCACTGCGTCAAGTTAGACGAAATGGGTTTGTGTTTCACTATTCTGTTAGGTGGCATGGCTGCACCCTTGGAGGAGGCGCTTTTCTCTTACCCTTCACAGATTTTCTTGACTCTGTTTTTCAGCTGATCGCCTTGGAAGAAAATGATGAACACAGATTTGTGCACGTAGTCGCCCTAGTCCCCAAACCAAAAACCGGGAGTTCAGACTTCTAATGTGGAAAAAAACTTCTTAACTTACTTTCTTGGTGATATACGGACAACAGAAATCCTTTAAGGATACGGTAACCCTGTACTTTAACCACTATCCTCAATCCACTTCTTAAGCTCAACTATAAGAACATTTGCCCTATAATCTCTAATTCACAAAAATCTTTCTGTATTTGTTTTTAAACTCAACCAGGAGCTTGACATGGACGCTAAGATGATTCTCCCCTTAGCACAATTTAGCCCTATTTACCTATTCAACTTTAAATCTTATATTGCCTGAATGACAAAAGTATACAGGAGAGGAAGGAGAAGGAAGCCATTCCTGCCTGTTGCATGCTTCGAAATTCTCAGATAAAGGGGACTGAGTAACTACAAGGAACGGAGCAGCTGGGAAGAATGTTGACATAGAATCTTATGATTCATGCTAATTTAGACTTTAAGTGGCAGGAGGAAGGCAATCCATTTCAAATACCAAGTTTACACCTGAAGTCTGATGCAAGGACTGGAAGGAAAGATCAGAAAAATAAGCTGCACTGGGTGTTACCCAGGATTGTCTCTAGTTGCCTTATTTTCTCATATTCTTATAGAGCTTTTATAATAAGACGTCACAAACAAACTTTAGAAGGATAAAAGGGATGAGGAATAAAGAAAATAAGGCTCAAGAGTCTTAAATTCCTAAATTCTCTAGGAATAAACTGGAGCACATTCTTTGTGTAGCTGCTCTGTTGTTGATATACAGACCCTCTCTGTCCTCGATTTGTTGATAAAATAATGTTTCTGTTGCTCAGGAACTTGGCTGAATATTCCTGAGAACAGCTCCACATTAGGTGTCACTGCAGACTGCAATGTGTCTACAACCCAGACAGCCTTCAGTAAGACTACAAAACTGCTCCTCTGGGTAAGGGGACTCATTGTTACCTAAGTGTCACCACACTCCTTCCTACTCAGTACTTAGGATAAAAACCACATAAACAGATCATTTTTAGCTGTATGACCCACCCACTCTGAGAAGTCTCACAATTCAATCTCCCTTCTTAGGCAGAGCAAAGAATACTACTTTAAGAAATCAAAAAGATAATTTGAAACAGAAAAACCAAGTCCAGGCTTCTAAATAATACTAATACAAAAGTGAAGTAAATTTTTTGCAGAACATTTAATCTTTACTTGTGCTCCCTGAAATCAGGACTCACCATACTTAATGTAGGTTTATGTTAAGAACTCTGTCCCATTATGTCAAATGCCAAGATGTTAAGCCGTTCCTATTTTCCAAAGCATTGGGTGGGGAAGATCATTCTATCTTTTTTTTTTTTTTTTTTTTTGATGGTGGAATTTTAAAGTTTTATTTGAAAACAAAAACATAATAGATCATTCTATCTTGCACAATATATATATTTTTAAACTAAGTTTCTAAATCTCCCAATAAACAAGTAGACAAAAAACCTTACCAACTAAAATTTCATCAACTTAAAGAGATCACAGTTTAGGAAATCTCTCCTCTTTTTACACATGGATATTACCAAACTTGGAACCAGATGTCTTGCTTTAGGTTAATTTTCATAGAAAGCTAATTTTCTTTTGGTCCCAGATAAGTAACAGAAAACATATAAAGCTAAAAATAAGCTTTCAAATAAAGTTAAAATAACTGGGAAAAACATATTTCCAATCAAAATAATACCTACACGGGTAAGACTTGAAAATGTATATGTCATGTATACATTATACGTACACATATGATGGAAATTAAGAGGAAAAGAGCAGTCCTTGGAATTCACAGATCAAAGCAGGGGTAAACATAAGGGATCCTCTGTGGGAGGGTCAGATTCAGGTGGTACCATGTTGTGGCACTGCTCTGAGCTCCCTTTACAAGACCTACTCCACGGGACGCAATTTCCTTGTCTTACAGTCACAGGATCCTCCAGGGGGTTCTCGATTTCAGCCTGTCGCAGGAACACATTCCCACGGCACACCCGCCAAAGCATGCGCTCAAAGGTAGGGATGCGCTCCCGGTTAATCACACCAGCCACGAAGCTGTGGGGAGAAGAGCCAGATTGGGAACTCTACTGCGTGCCATGGGTCAGAAGCTTTAAGACAAAGAAGGAAAGTGAGAGGAGAGGGGCAAAGACAACAAACATGAGACTGTGCATTGTTATGGCAAGAAGGCTGCCAAAGTCTTATTCCTGGACCCAGCAGAGGGTTGACAGAACAACCCAGGAACTGAATCCAAAGTGACTTAGGAACACCTCTCAACAGGTTAAGAAGAGAGTATATGCTGGGAGCAAGTGAATGCCCAGTCTCACTGCTCTTTTGAACAGCAAAAATGAACATGACCCCACTGTGTATGGAGGGTGGAAGTGGTACTTACCCAAGTCTTAAAGGTGTGCCTCTTCCCATCTCACTTGGCTCCAAGAGGGATGAGGACTCTTCCAACAGGTCTGGATCCGCCATCTGCTGATGATGCAATTCAGCCTGAATTCACAAATCAATTAATATCTAATGAAAATAGTTAGTGGCATGCAGGGAACGAGGAACCAGGATAAGTTCAGAAAATAAAGATGAAAAAAGAAAAAAACCACCAAAAGAGAAGACATACCCATAAAAAGAAGACAAGAATGAGGAGAAAACGAAGGAAAGAAACAAGAGGTAAAGAAAGCATAATTGCCCCAGTAAAGCATCTAGGGAAATGGTTTTAGAAACAAGGAATAAAGAAAAAACATGAAATGATGGTGATATGTATAAATCTGTTACTTGGTGGAAGCCATTTTTTCTCCTATGTTTCCCTGAATGAGCCATGAAAGTACCAGGAAATACCTTTGCATGTAGATAGAAGCTGAAGTGTTTCTTCCTTTTGAGCAAAAACACAAGGCAGCTCTGCAGATACTCTCAACATCAAATTTCTAGGTTGCTACAAAGACTTTTCCCTGAGTGAGAATGTAAAAGATGGAGACTCTTTCCAAGGAAGAAAGCAAGGCCCCATCACCGTCTTAAATAGACTGTGATCTGAAGAAAGACAGAAGGGGCATCTCCAGATATCTAGGTTTTCTATGCTCTTAAAAATTCAGAACATGACAACTTTCAGCATGGCCAATATACAAAATGCTCCAAACCATAGGATTTAAAGAGTATTTCTTTCTCCAAAAGGATAAGAAACACAATAGCCGGGCAGGCCTGGGCCTCCACTGTTATCCATAAAGGCAAGAAAAAGTGAAAACATATCTAGGAATATTAAAAAGTTCATGTAGGCTTTACAGTTTAAAGATTCTTGAGAACATAGCTTAACCCAACAATCTAAATCAAGTAAAGTGAAGAAAAAGTAACAGATAATAAGCCAATATGGAGCTCATGGCCTGGTTTAATTGTTTAGATTTAAAATGATTTCCACCATGACAGTTTATACAATGAAATGAAGGAGGAGAGGGACCTTCTCAGATGCAGGTCTATATTTCTAGCCTCTCTCTATGAGACACATTTGACCACCTTTTACTCTCATTAGAAAGGAGAAGCAACCCTAAAAAATAGAGGCCAACTGACTGCTCTACTGACTTTTATCTTGCCAACTTTAATACTCAACGCACTACTTGTTTGACCAAAGACTAGAAGTAAGCCAGAACAATCTCCCTTTTCAAAAGCAAAACTAAACAAAAAGTCAGGAAAACTTTTCTCTATCATTTTCATTCCAAATTTCAATTTGATTCTACTCCTGTCAACCTCGCTATCAAAAAGTGCCATAAGGGAACCTCACTTGATAAAATCATAGGACCATTAATATAACAGTCAAAGAGGGAGGAAAAAAACTGAGTATAAACCAGGTGGTAAGTCTGAAAGCCTGAAAAAGTGAAAAGCAATTGTTTTGGGAAGCAAATTCTAGAAGCAGAATCAACCTTGATTTAAAAAAAAAAGGGAAGGGCAGACACTGAGTATACCAGAAAGGCAGAAAAATACTATCATGAGATTTGGAAAAGTTTAAGATGAGATAATGGGGGCACAGATTACCACTTGCCGTCAAATGGAAGTTTAGGAGGCTCTTTTTGTTTCTACTTGAAATCAAATCAGCTGACTGCAAGCCACAGGCAACTAGTTTTGAGGATCCAGATGACGACAGCATTTCAACTTACTCTTGGGATACCCCCTGCCACAAATCAGTGAAACTGACTGCTACTCACAAGACTCCCGCCTCCTTCCCTGCACAGTTCACAAGATCTGGATTAAGTAAATCCTAAAGATCAGACTCAGTGCAAAACATATGTGCTCTAAAGGGGATAACTGATGGAACAGCAACCAGCACTTAGCAACCAGACTACTCCAAAGACTGTATCTGGGACTCTCTGGGTATAAAAAAACCAACAGAATTAAAATTAAATAGAATTTGCAAAAATATTCTATTTAGTAATTTTACTACTTCATACTTAAGAATCCTAAGTCTTAGAGAGAAAGTTAAAAAATTTTTTTAATTAAATAATTGTGCCTGATGGGAAACTAGGATGACCAGAGCCACTAACTGAGGGCCTTCACAGCAATCTCTAAAACCATGTCATCGAGTATCTAAATCCTAATCTGGTTCTCTAATAACAATAACAACACTGCCAGTGTTCCTCTAATTACTTGCTATGCCCTCTGGTTTACCCCTTCCCCAATCAGAATACTGAAACTATGCCTTGAAAAAGGAAGAAGTAGAACTTGAGTAGTTCTATTTCTACACCTAAGTATAAGCAGCACATCCAGTTTAAGCTACATTAATTACCAAGAGCAAACACTTTTACTTCCACCTACATTAAGACAGAAATTACACTTCATCAGAAGGTATTCACGCAAGCCCCAAAGGAGATGGCAGATGGGAAAGAAAGTAAAGAAAGCAGATGGGTAGAAAACGCAGAAGGAAAGGAAGGCAGGGATCTGCATGCCATTAACCATTACTTTTCCAGTCTTCTTTACGTTCTCATATGCTATGGTGCTTATGGTAAAAGATGCAGAGAAATCTCTCCAGCTCTTACAGTTCTTCATAAGCAAGAAGACTGAGAAAAGGATAATCATTAACAAGTCATTTTAAATGCTCTGTATAAGAAGTGGCTAAGTCAAATTTGTAATCATCTTAAATCATAAGAAGACTCAATACATGTTTCCTTTTCCCCTTCTACACACCCTGCCAGTCATAACCCCTACGCCTAAAGAGGGAAAGAATCATTTTCCGATTTAGCCATTTTCTGCTAACTCATTACTATAAATTATTGATCATATTCACCAAATTATATAAAAAACAAGGATTTAAAATTGGTAGTGTTTTAGGGCATTTGCGAATATCATAATTTCAGGCATGGACGAAACTCTCATGAAAAACTTATGTTTCTGAGATTTGAGGTGTTTCCTCACCTCTGCATTATTTAAAGCATGCACTTGCATGTGCAGACACGCTACTCTGTGAGGCCTTTTCTTCTGTCACAGCAGTGACACTGAGACTCCTGTTCAGCAACAGCAGGGCAAGGCACGGACTCTGCACTAGTGAGAGTGAAGAGAAAAGGGAAAGAAAGGCAGGGTGGTTCTTGTAGAAGACTTTCTGCACTATGGCGATGGTGTGAGGAACCAGAGGGGTTGATGATGAAAGCAGTGGAAGAACCTCTCACAGCCAAGGCCTCATGTCCACAAGTACTTCCGGAGGTTAAAAAAAAAATGTTTTGCATGACTAGGAGCGGGCAGACAACCTACCACGGACAGGTCATGAAGGTCATGAGGACGTAAAGCCTGCCTTCTCAGCATGGGCATTTCGTGTTGAGACTTAATAATCAGAAAGAAAATTCCTAAATCCATAACTCACGATTTTAAAATCTTGTATCATCTTTCCAAGTGGTTCTTCTTATTTTTACTATTTTTTTAATTATAAAATCAACAGTTTAAAAAACTATTTCCCTGAAGGGAGACTATTTGTCAATTTTTATTCAGAATTTCTCCCAGAATGAACTAGACTAGGAAGCTTATTCCAATCCTTAAACCCAGGAGGTTATGCAAGACATTTTCAGACAGGTCAGCAACATCCCAGCAGTAAACTACAGGCTATATCAAAAGGGAAAAAAGCCGGGGAGGGCAAAAGAATTAAGTCCCAAACGATAATAAGGAGCTGACCTTTGAGCTTGAGGCCAGGTTTACACTGGATCATGGGCAGCAGCTTGGACACATTTAGAAAAGCACACATCTGTGAGCATACAAAGGCAATGTGTGTGGGGATGTTTCCTCATATGACTAAGTGATATATTCTTTGAACGCGGGGACCACGTCTTACTCATCTTATGCCTCACAAAGAGTAGGTGCTCATCAAATGCTCAATGAGCATACTAGAATTGCAGATTATTTGTTCATTAAAACCATACGGCATAAGTGGCCATACGTGTTGCAAAAGACCTGAAACACTTGGAAAGAATTAATCACACTGCCCCACACCCTCTAATGTGATTTTGGGGACTGGTAAAAGAAGTTACCATCAGTTTCAAAATTCTCAACTCGGCGAGCAAGCTGAATATTCACATCAAACCTCTCCTGATATTTAGCCAGATTCTGATTCTTGGGAGGACCAGGCAATTAAATTCATAGGAGCTTTTCCCCTTCCCCTCGCCCCAGCAGATCTTTTTAATTAGCATGGTTTCTCTGACTCAAATCCTTAGTTATTGAGGAATGACGCACACCTTCAGCTAAATTTCTCTAGCCTGGTGGTTCTCAAACTAGTCTGCCTCAGAATCAGCTGGCAAAAACAGACTGCTGGGCCCCACCCTCAGAGTTTCTGACACACAAAGTCTGGGGTGGGGACTGATAATTTGCATTCTGACAAGTTCCCAGGTGAGGCTGATGCTGCTGGTTGGAGAATCCCTGCTCCAGTCTAGAGAACTACTGAGAGTTGTTCTTTCCTCAAAAGCCAGAAATTAAAAGTAGAACTGAGAACATATCAGATGCTAATTACATAGGGCCCTCTATTTTTTTAAAAGCTTTGCCACAATATTTTTTGTTGAGCAAAGGAAATAAAGAACTTTATGGGAAGGCACACTGAACAGTGATTGGAACAATCTCTGAAGTGCCTGATGTTGCTAATCTGGTGGCAAAGACACTTGTAAAAAAGAGAGTTATCCATGTTCTAGGCCATCAGAAAAAGCATGTCCAGGCTGAAAGCTAAGACTCCTCCCCAGGTTTAATTAGGAGAAGGAAGCCTTCTGGTTTTTTTTGTGTGTGTGTGTGAGTGAGAAAGATTAGCCCTGAGCTAACATCCGTTGCCAATCCTCCTCTTTTTGCTGAAGAAGATTGGCCCTGGGCTAACATCCGTGTCCATCTTCCTCTACTTTATATGGGACGCCGCCACAGCATGACTTGAGAAGTGGTACACTGGTCCGCGCCCAGGATCCGAACCTGCAAATCCTGGGCCGCCAAAACGGAAAGCGAGAACTTAACCACTACGCCACTGGGCCAGCCCCAGGAAGCCTTCTGAAAGCCTTGTTCCAAATTCTTTCCATGGGGTCACCTCAGCAAGCTGTTGCTGGCAACTTAGTCACCTACATTTTCAACCCAAGAGCTTATTAACATTTTTCCCTATGAGGTAATGCAGCTGAGTTTACATGAAACTCCAAGAATTCCTACCAATATTTCCATACAACATAAGGAAAATCTCTTAAAAAATTAAAGTGTGAAATGTGCTATCTGAAGTAGTTAAAAATGTGCTCAGAGGTTGATAATCAAACATAGAAAATAAAAATTTTGGGCCGGCCCGGTGGCTTAGCGGTTAAGTGCACGCGCTCCACTGCTGGCGGCCCGGGTTCGGATCCCGGGCGTGCACCGACGCACCGCTTCTCTGGCCATGCTGAGGCCGTGTCCCACATACAGCAACAAGAAGGATGTGCAGCTATGACATACAACTATCCGCTGGGGCTTTGGGGGAAAAAATAAATAAATAAAATCTTTAAAAAAAAAAAAAAAGAAAAGAAAAATTTTAATTTGATGACAAAAGGCTTGGAGAGTAAACCCTTTGTTATAATTTCACATATAACCAAATGTTTCTTGTTGCTTCAACTTTAAGTATTTACTTACCTTAAAATATAATGTAAAAATTTCAACTATGTTTATACAACTACTTTAGAGTTCCTTTTCCTATCTTGAGATGAAAAATTGCAGAAAATGCAAAAATATACAAAACCATGGCTGGCTGTGTACTGCATGAAAAATGGAACATAATCTGACATTTGTTCAACTAAAACAGAGTGCAAAAATGGTACTGCTTTCAAACTAGCAAATTAAAATAATTATTGGAATAAAAATATGGCCCACTTGTGCGGGTGTAATATCATCTGCTCAAATACAAAAAGAAACAATAGTCTGACCTCATCGAAAAACTGTTGAGTTTTGCGAAGTATAAATTTTAATTCGGTCAGTTCCAGGAAGTTTCTCTTCAAAGCTTCCTGGTTTGTGTTGATTTCCTTCAGTTCATTTTCAATCTTCTCAAAATTGGCCTACAGAAAAAAAAATCAAACTATTAACTCAAACTAAGCTCAACATGTTTGCTCTGAAAGACAGATGAATTCATCCATCCCACAGAACTCTTCCCACCTTGATGGGTCAAAGTTATCTTACATCTACCCAGACAGTACTGTATTTTTACCAGGGCAATTTTCTTTATTAAATTTTTTTGCTTAAAATGCTCTTTCTTTGTCTGTAGATTCTATTATACACTTGGTAAAATTTCTCAGGGGACTTCATATGGAGAAAATAATTATTGAAAAGTCTATTGGCTATTCATTTAGTCTATGAGATTAATAAACCACTAGATAAATTGACACTAATCCAAGAAGGTTTCAATAAACCAGTAAACATTTACTTAGTGGCATGTGATACTGTTCAAGATACTGTTCTATACCATAAAAAAGGGAATTAATTTTAATCCCATCCACAAGAAACTTGCAATCAACAGACAATGCTGACAAGGATAGCAAGAATTATTCTACTCTCCATCCACTCAGGAAAGTGATTTTTGCACTTAAGTAGAAAGAAATTTATCTGGCTTCCTCAGAATTGTTTACCTCTAAGTCAATCATGTCCCGAGGGAAGGGCACCTCTGGGTTTTCGCCAGTGTCCATAATTGGAATATTAGCTTTTCTTATCTCTTTCTCAACAAATCCTAAAATGACAGAATCAAAACATTCATGTATAGCACACGCCTGAAATTGCCAACATTTGAGGAAAAAATAATAGGACCCAAAACCTGGCTGAAAAGAGCTCCATTCTAAGAAAGATACTTTCACATAAAAGAAGCAGAAGACGTAAATGCTTTTTTCTTCACATTCCTCTTCCTCCTACCCTACACTCTCTGAAACATAGCTACCCCAAAAAGGGTTACATCTCCCTACTGTCTTCTTTCCCTCTTCTGACCTTAAATCTGGTCCTCATTTACTTCAGCTCTCCACCTGTGTGACTACTACCCCGAAGTATGCTGGTTCCGGTTACAGACATCGGGTGGCAGAGCAGAGCTACGGAACAGCACAATTCCATGGACTATTTCAGACTTGGCACACTAGTGAGACAATTCCAGATCAAAAGGGTCATTTCATTTGAAAACAATCAGGTCAGTTTTAAGTGAAACAAAGCAAAACAAAAACCAAAAAGCAAGACACAGAATACGGCCCCAAAACACCAGAAGAGAAAAGTGTTCCAGGTGACAACAACTGACTTTTTTTTAGGGCAGGAACCAAATTTACCTATCAGCTAACTGAAAGCTGGTATGGTACAGTAGCAAGATCACAGGTTTTGGAGCCAGATAGAACAACCTGGATTCAAATACTGATTCCATCACGACCACTTATGTTCTTGGACAAGTCACTTAACCTCTCTGATCTCTGATTTCCTCATTTATTTATTTCCTCATTTATTTATTTACTTATTTATTTATTTTGCTGAGGAAGATTTGCCTGAGGTAACATCTGTTGCCAATCTTCCTCTTTTTGCATATGAGCCACCACCATAGCATGGCCACTGACGGACGAGTGGTGTACGTCCATGCCCAACAACCGAACCCGGGCCACCAAAGCAGCGAGCGCCAAACTTAACCACTAGGCCACTGGGGCTGGCCCTAGGTGTTCTCATTTAATAAATGAGGAAACCAGGCCAGCCCCATGGCTTAGCAGTTAGGTACACGCGCTCCACTGCTGGCGGCCCAGGTTGGGCTCCTGGGCGCGCACCGATGCACTGCTTCTCCGGCCATGCTGAGGCTGCGTCCCACATACAGCAACTAGAAGGATGTGCAGCTATGACATACAACTATCCACTGGGGCTTTGAGGGAAAATAAATAAATAAATAAAATTTAAATAAATAAATAAGGTAACACCTATCTTGAAGGAATGCTGTCGGGAATGAACAAGATAAAGTATATGATCACTCTAACTCTCAATAGAACCTTTGCAAATGTTAGTGTCTTCCCTCATAAATAGCTCAAATTAAAAGGTGGCTATGCTAACATCTAAAATTGATGGTGGTCTGGGTCTTATCTCTCAGAATTCCATAATGTAATACTGTTATAAAACCCTTCCCACAAAAAAATAACCAGTGTTTTCAGCCTGCAGCCCTATCATCTCAAACAAGGTTTCCATTAAGTACCACCTAACCCAAACACCACAAAACCTACTTGCATACAATAAATTCATCTTAACATCAGGATTGTAAGATTTTTTCTCCTGTAGTATTTTCTTCCTTTATTAAGAGGACCAGTGTCTTTAATTTAAAACAAATGACTCATTATAGGAACATCATACAGGACCAAAATGCACATACGAAGCTTTCGATCCATTTCTTCACATCTTCTAACTTCATTCACAAATTTCCGCTGGAAAACATTCACATCTGGATTTAACTGCAAAATAAGAACACAATATCAAATATTCAAATATTACATCTATTCCCTTTGTCTCACAAGCAACACACCCTGCAAAGTGAAAACCTAATTTTGTGTCAATGTCAGCTGCAACACTAATAAAAACTCTCTACTGATCCACATAACCTGCTTTGGGGCCAGTCACACCAACTAAAGATAAAAACCTCTCCCTCACTGCCACAACGTATAGTGGAATGGAGGCAAATTAGAAAAAACACTGTGGTGCAAAATGTTCTTCCCAGGCCAAAAGTCTCAGTGAGCTCCCTCCATCAAAAGTTTGGGCAACAGATATAACAGAAGTTCTGCCTGGTTTTCCTTCTTTCCTTCTTCCCAATCAGAAGAGACAGAAGGCAAACTTCTCTTGTTCTTCTGTCCCGGGTCTTCACCTTCTAGGGGACAGTTTGCTTTATTCATTCATACATCACAAGTAATTTTCAAAGCAACGTGTTGGATATTCTGGGAAATACAAACAAGAATAAAACGAGTTCCTACTCATTAAGAAGCTTGTAATCTGGTAGGGAAGAAAGATGAACACAACCAAAAAGCATGTGATAAATTCCATAAAAGTAACACAAATAAAGTTACTCAATATTTATGGATCCCCAATATGTGCCTGACACTAGTATAAATACAAAGAATAAGATATGTCCTCCCGGGGGCCGGCCCGATGGCACAAGCGGTTAAGCGCGTGAGCTCTGCTGCGGCGGCCCAGGGTTCGCCGGTTTGGATCCCAGGCGCGCACCGACGCACTGCTTGTCAAGCCATGCTGTGGCGGCATCCCACATAAAGTGGAGGAAGATGGGCACGGATGTTAGCCCAGGGCCAGTCTTCCTCAGCAAAAAAGGAGGAGGATTGGCAGATGTTAGCACAGGGTTGAATCTCCTCACAAAAAAAAAAAAAAAAAAGATATGTCCTCCCTTTGAGGAGCTATCGGTCTCAGAAGAGACAGACAAACCAATAAATACAATTTGTTGTGATAAATGCTATTAAAAAGTAAGTAAAGTATCGTTGGTAGTTTCTTATACAGTTAAACATACACCTACTTACCTAATGACTAAGCATTCCACTAGCAGGTACTTGCTTAAGAGAAATGAAAACACGTCCACAGAGACTTGTATAAAATATTTACAGCAGCTTTATTCATAATAGCCCCAAACTGGCAATGATCCAAATGTCCATCAACAGGAGAATGGATAAAGACATTGTGGTATAGTCATACAATGGAATACTACTCAGTAACAAAAAAGAATCAAATTCTACAGATTCACATAAAACCAGATAAATCTCAAAAACATTAGGTTAAGTGAAAGAAGTCAGATGTAAGAGTTCGTAACGTATGATTCCATTCCCATAAAGTTCAAGAAGAGGCAAAAGTAATCTATGACAGTAGAAATCAAAACAGTGATTACCTACAGGGGGTGGGGATTGACTAGAAGTGGGCACAAGGCAACTTTCTGGGCTGATGGAAATATTCTATATCTTGATTGGGGTGATGGCTACAAAGGATATAAATTTACCAAAATTATCAAATTGTACTTTTTTTTTTTTGCTGAGGAAGATTCACCCTGAGCTAACATCTGTGCCAATCTTCCTCTATTTTGCATGTGGGTTGCTGCCACAGCATGGCTGACGAGTGGCGTAGGTCCGAGCCTGGGATCTGAACCTTCAAAAACTGGGCTGCCAAAGCAGAGCGTGCTGAACTCAATCACTACGTCATGGGGCCGGACCCCAAATTGTACTCTTAAGGTCTACACATTTCACTGAATATAAATTTTACCTCCATAAAAAAGAACTGGGTACACATGTGTGTGGTGATGGGTTGTAATTAGTATTTGGGTGGTGAACATGATGTAGTCCATGCAGAAATAGAAGTACAATGATGTACACCTG